TTAATGGTTTATAAACCATAAAATCGTACTCCAACACGAGACTTTGCTTTTCAGCTCTTGGAAAATGGCTGCAGGACATCTGGACCAAAATCCATTTATAAACAATTTTACAACCGCAGACTTGATGAATTGTTGAACCCAACATTCATAATTGTCGGTGACTAATTTGTGCTAATGACTCATTAACAACTGAGAAACCCATCACCTTTATTAATGTCAAACAAAACAGCTCTTACCGTCAACATTTGCCATTTACTGTATTGTTCTTTCCACATTTGCATGATTTTAAGTTTTGCATGCACATCAACAGCTAGTCATGGTAGTAGTCTATACATCTTACTGACACATGGACAAGGTTTCAATGTGAGATGAGAAAAGGACTCTTTTGCGTAGGTGGGCAGCCAGCTCACTCTCAGTTTCTGATTCAGTTGTCAAATGTTGTGACCTCTCTCTGGATTTTAAATCCACCCAAGCGTCAGAGATTTCACCATTTATACTTTCCCAGCCCAAACCATCATCATTTTGTTGAGTAGCTTGATTTCACAACATGCAAGGATGTTACATCAACAAAAACTGACTTCACAGAGACAGCGTCTGAAGCAGGCTTCATTTAATTTCATTACAACTGATAAATTGTTCCTGAGTCTCTGTTTTGGCTTTTAGTTACTGTAGTTTTAAGATGAAAGCTAAAATTCTTATATTTTAGATTCTTAATGAGCTTGTGCCAAACTAACTAGTTGATACAATGCAAATACAGTATAGTGTGTCCTCAGCAGATCCCTTGAATCAGACTGCTGATCACTCTGCTGAAATCTAAGACAGAGACCTGCAGTGAAGCCACTGTCTGTGGTTCCGGACACAAACTGTCTTTAACATTGAAACATCAGCCTGGATACAAGAACAGCAACATTATCGAGGCTTTTAAATCACTTGCTAGCCTATTTTTTATCCTTACGTTTACGTTACTATTACATTTTTGAATATGATAATGGAATTATGATTAAAGAAAAGCACTTTTAGTGTTGATATTGTTTTGTTTTTGTTTTGTTTTATTCATCTAACATCCATTTGGCTCAACAGCTAATTCCTCACCACTTTACTTTCTAATCTCATGGACATCTCACTAAGCTTCTAATAAATCACAATGTACGTGTATATTAAACAATATTGTCGTAACCTACATGAAAAACAAAATACTTTACTAAATCAGTGTTGCAGAGGTTGAGTGAACCCCTGCTGTCTGTATCGCTGCTGCCCCCTGTAGGTAATGTGTGGCGCTGTCCTCCGGTGCAGCAGGGGGCGCTGCCCGCTGCCCGCTGCCGATGGGACGTCCGGTTACCAAAAAATTGCAACGTCAGGTCAGGAAGCTATCGCAGCCCAGAAGGCAGCTTCTTGAATCCCGGAGGAAGAGGAGAAAAATCTCTGCAAAATGGTGCGTAAAACATATCGATATACATCCAGCGCACACGGTGTGAGTGAGTAGAGATGTGTCCGATGGTGGAGAAGTGTTTACAGCGGTGTGAGGGTGAGATGTTTGCGGATGTTAGGTTGTACCGGGCCGGTGAGCTGTTGTGCTCCAGCGTGGCGCTTCATGGCTGATGAAACCTCAGCTGACCGCCTGCACTGCTGGAAACACACACACACACACACACACACACACACGAGGAGTTTTTACAGACTTATTGAAGCATATTTGTATGACAGTGTCAACACCGTGAAGCGTAATAAGAAATGGCATTTTGTGTTGCTTGTGTGGCATTTTCAGTCCTCGCTTCATAGCTAGCTACTAGCTAACCTCTCGACTCCTCATTCCCCCTCAGGGTTTCGTCAAAGTGGTGAAGAGCAAGGCCTACTTCAAGAGATATGAAGTTAAATTCAGGAGAAGGAGAGGTAAATGGAAACTTTCACTGCACACCAGCTTTACAACCTTCACACTGTTAAGCCAAACTCCTGTTCAGTTTTTTTCTATTAACCACTGACTTTGGTTCTTTTTTAACTTGACAGAGGGGAAAACTGACTTCTTTGCTCGCAAGCGTCTGGTTGTGCAGGACAAGAACAAGTACAACACGCCCAAGTACCGCATGATCGTCAGGTTTTCCAACAGGGACATCTGCTGCCAGGTCAGTGACTGCAGGTCTCAGTTAAACTCATGGGATCACAGACTGAAAATGATTTGACTTAACCCCCTCTCCTCTGTCTGTCTACCTTGTCCAGATTGCTTATGCAAAAATTGAAGGGGACCAGATTGTGTGTGCTGCTTACTCTCACGAACTGCCTAAATATGGCATCTCTGTAGGCCTCACAAACTACGCTGCGGCCTACTGCACCGGGCTGCTGCTGGCTCGCCGGGTAAGAATACACATATACACACCCACACTGAAACTTGCAGATGTCAGCAGAGACAGCACATGGATGTGACACTGAGATTTGTGCTGAAGTAGCAACTCCAGAGGTTAGGTCAGATTTGTAAAATCACCGCATTTCAAGCCTAGTAAGAACTAACATAAAACACGTCATTATGCGTCATGATGCGCCCACTACCGGAACATATTTGTCAAGTGTTTTCTCACATCCTCTTTTGCACCTTCCTCCTCATTTTTAGCTGCTGCATAAGTTTGGCATGGACCAGGTGTACGAGGGTCAGGTGGAGGTGACGGGAGATGAGTTCAATGTGGAGAGTGTCGACGGGCAGCCGGGCGCCTTCACCTGTTACCTGGATGCAGGCCTGGCCAGAACCACCACAGGGAACAAGGTGTTCGGAGCACTGAAGGGGGCAGTCGACGGAGGGCTGGCCATTCCTCACAGGTCAGTATGATGTGAGAATAGCACCCGCTGCTTATGCTTGTTTTTCTTCTGCTTCTTCACTTCCTTACTATATATACATGTGGAGCAAATGAAAACAGTTCCTACACTAATAAAACTGCATTATCACACAGATGCACTACGACTGGTGTTTCATCACCTTGTGTAATTCCAGTCAGAGTGCTTATTCAACAGAAGAGCAACTGGTTTGCCAACATGATCCAGTTTATGGTTACTGGTTCTGTTCTGCTTCTTGATGATGATACAAAACACGCTGAGCAAAATGTAGTTGGTCCTTCATTTGCATTAGCTGATGTTTACTGTCGTTTTCAAGACGGGGCTGAGAGAAGCAAGATGAACCGAAGCAAACAACTTTTATTGTGTTGCAGTGTAATTAATTAGCAGAGCACTGAACAAAACCGAGCATGATTACAAGAAAACCATAAATGCTGTGAGAAAAATACATTTCGTCAACTTACCTTAATGCGATCTCTGCCCTTTGTCGTTCCCTAGTCTAAAACGCTTCCCCGGTTACGACGCAGAGAGTAAAGAGTTCAACGCAGAGGTGCACCGGAAACACATCATGGGCATGAATGTGGCCGACTACATGTCTTACCTGATGGAGGAGGACGAGGATGCCTACAAGAAACAGTTCTCTCGCTTCATCAAGAACGGAGTCACGCCAGACACGGTAAGATAAGAACTTCTCGCACGTGAAGATAGATTCTATATGAGACTTCAGTACAGCATCTGTGGCCATCGTTACAGATGCAATATTCAATCTGGTAGCCAGATTTTCTTAATCTAAATTTCCCAATTATGTTCATATATCATTCTTAAAGAGTGGTGTTGTATGAAATGACTTGTCAGCTGATTTCTTCAGACGCATTGCTATGGGCATGTACTGTATGTTGACAAATAAGTAACAAGAAATAGCAGGACAGGATTGCTAGTGAATTAGAAACGGTGACCAGAGAGCACTGACATGTTTGAGCGAACCTTACCAGAACCTCATCAGATGATGTCTTACCTTTTAACTGTCAGACATCATTGCATGTGCCATATGGTTGCAACAGTAACGGTGACATCTGGGGGAGCTGTACTGCACAGTCAACCAAAACCACACTGCAGCCCTAAAATGTAGGCAGTGCCTAAATAAATGGCACATCTGCACAGCGGCTTTTTTCATCACTGCACATTTGCTTTGGCCTTAACAACTACAAATAAAAGACAGTTTGAATGCAGTCTTCTTAAAAATAATCATTGTTTTAGATACTGCACAGATGCCAAAATCGAAAGTTATATTTACTGATCCATCAGTTGTAGACTCCACTCACACCCGGCCTGTTGCTGTGTGTAGTCATAGCCGCTTTTGCTGTCAGGAAATTATCACTGTGGTAAATAGATGAATCACTGAAAGTCTGTCGTTCCGTTGTTATATTTAGTTCAGTTAGTTAAGTCAGTTATTCTCCACTGTTTTCTGCTTCTTGATGATGATACAAAACACGCTGAGCAAAATGTAGTTGGTCCTTCATTTGCATTAGCTGATGTTTACTGTCGTTTTCAAGACGGGGCTGAGAGAAGCAAGACAAATCACCATGCGTGTCGTGAAATGCCAAAACTTGGTGTATAAATATGTATGTGTCGTTTTCTTCTTTTTAGGTAGAAGAAATGTACAGAAAAGCACACGCCGCCATCAGAGCGAACCCCGTGCACGAACAGAAACCCAAAAAAGACGTCAAGAAGAAGAGGTGGGTTCCTACTTTCCGTATCTCAGATGCCTTTGTCTGTCTCTAAGCCAGAATTGGTGATGCTGTTTCACCCAAATTGTTATGACGTAGTCCTTAAAATAATCACGTAACATTATTGGTAACTGGAGAAAAAACTGCCCTTATTTAACGCCAGCTCCCTCTTTAGGGATCGAATAATTCTGGGAAGATCCCAGTGCTGAGCGGACAAACATTTCTCTCCACAGACGTGCTGAATGTTAATGGAGCTGTTATTGTGTTTCTTTCCGGGCAGGTGGAATCGCGCCAAGTTATCTCTGGCACAGAGGAAGGATCGCGTCGCTCAGAAAAAGGCCAGCTTCTTACGAGCACAAGAACAAGAAGCAGGGGACGGTTAGGGGCTCGCCACAGGGCCCTGCTGCAAGAACACAACACACTTCACAGACAAATAAATTTATTTCAAATTCATGCTTGTGTCTGGCTCAGTCAATACTGTGTACTTTTCTTTTTCTTTTTTTGTTTTTAAAGGAACATCGTGGCCTTGTTTGCTTGTGACTAGTTATACCCATGACAAATATTTACAGTGTTAATCTTTAATCCACAATATGAGTGAGATACTGGATTGCCATATTGTGCAATATAAATCTTGACAGACCTGACAAGTAACAGTGAAGTGGTATGTAGTTTAATTGTGCAAAATCATGCTGGTTTCTTCAATAAGTAAACTTTTTTTTTTTTTACATTTTTAAAACTAACAGCAGCATTGACCACAAGCTTGACATGCTGTACAGGTCACGTCTGTCTCAAAGTGGTTTACGTTGTCAACTTGGTCACAGTTACTTCACATCGGCAATGTCTGGAAGGGTTCATGGAAAATATTCTTTTATACAGCATTCAAATGTGACCATGACACTCGATAAAGGATCTCCACCTTCACAGGTGGTAAACATTCACAAAGTGATTTCAGCATGATCTGTGGCACTGTGACGGATGAAATCCAAAAATAACATGATGCAGTACATTACCACAAACACTCTTCAGTGAGAAATAGTAGAGAACATTCACAAACCAAATTAAATACATTAATATTTTCTCTTCGTGTCATTGATGCAGCATTGATGATGTCACTTGGGTTACAGGTGGAAAACTCGCAGCATGGTCAAGTACGCTGATGCACAGTATGAACACTGTGACGTACTGTCAGACAAATACCATCACATTGTCCAATCTGAAGCTAATGAACTGCCCCATTTCAGCAAACAGATGAGTGACAGATAAAAGGAAACGCCACCATGAATCTCCAGAAAAGCTTCAGTGCTCTTTGGCACTGAGTCCTTCATAGAGGAATTATTGTTGAATTCCTCCACTAATTTGTTTATTCTGGTTTTTCCTTCGTCACTAATCTGTCTTTGTTGAAGTCTGGTGATGCTCTATAATTTCCTTATTTTCAAATAATCCCCTGAAAAGACCAAAACCTACAATCTCAGTTTGCCTGTGCCTGCAGCCAAGGCTTAAACACTTTCCTGTATAAAAACAAACATCAATGAGCTGCTCTTTTGCACCGGGTGACACATTCCCAGACCACAATGAACTGTATTTTGAATTGATCCAAATGTGTATTAATCCGCAGCTGAAAGTAGTCCCCTAACAAATGCACAAATTCCTTCTGTTTGAGTAACCGTTGCTAAAAAATTACAGTGCCCAGCTGTTTGACGACATTCTTTAACCTTTTTTTTTCTTTTCTTTTCTTTTTTTTTTTTTTAAATTGAAGTATGATTTTAAAGTAAAAAAGATAAAATACATCTTCAGCAGGCAGCGCTGATGGGCTTGGGTCTGAGTGCTAGCGAAGTAAAATATGAAATACTAACATACTGTTGGTTTTCACCTTTTCATTGGATTTGTTACAAATAACAAATGTAGAATATCGGTAACCTTAGCAACCTTAACATAAAATTAAGGAGCATATCTTATCATAGTGCAATTTCAATACACTTCAAACTGGAGCCTCTGTACAACAGTCACTCTATCCTTGTTTTCCTCAAGGGAATAAACTCTTCTTTGATGAACTGTGTTAGTCCACACACACATCAGCATGATTTTGTGGCAAAAACAGCAATTTAGTCTCTCGGCTCTTGAGACTAACAACAGTAAAACATTCAGCGGTAGAGAACAATACAATACAATAAAATGTGGCTGTATGAATTGTTTTAAGTGTGACTGATGGCAACATGCAATCATTCAGTATATATTTTTTTAGTGTTGTATTTAAACATACTCTGACATGTTTTCCAGGCCCCAGACTTCTGAAACCGGGATGGAGGAGGTAGTCCCCATCAGTCGGTTCATTCATTAGTGTTAAGAGTTGATAAAAATGACTTTGAATGAATTTGCTACTTCTAAATCACAGCATCGTTAATACTCAGCTCCATGTGAGAGTGACTGGCATCATTTCAGAGGAATTTCTTCTCCTTGTCACGAGTCCTTTGTGTGTGAGATCTGTTTCCACAGCAGAGCTTTCAGGTTGTTGAGGATAAGTGAGTGCTCCATGTTCATCTGTCCAGCATTGCCCTTGAGAGCCATACATAAGTACAACTGTCTCTCCAGTTCCTCCCTCATCACTGACGGCGCCCCGCGCAGGAGGTAGTCCTTCAGTGCACCGCATGCCTTCGCCAAGTTTGGCTGGAGCGGCTCCTCCCTGCACCGTTTCTCTGACATGTCGCATGACGTCCGGCAGTCCACCCCGTACACGCAGTCAGCGTCTGTCTCACACTTCAGTACTCGCATGGTGCGTCTGAACTCGTCTTCAGGAACAACTGCTCCGGCGTTGGTAAGACGGAGCTCGTGGCGGTCAGTGTAACCAAAGTGTGTTGCGGTGAGGTCGCAGATGAGAAAGCTGCCGTAGGTGCCGTGGAAGATGTCCTCCACCAGCTCCAGCAGACCCATGGAGATCTTGGCTTTGCGAGGCCAAGATGGGGTGAACCACTGATCAATAGTGCGCTGCACACTGCTCGGCACCCAGGACACCAGCGGCCAGGGTAGAGACAAACCGTACAGGGGCCCGTAGGGGACTCGCTCCGTCATGTAAAGGTCCCCGCAGTAGCCGAGGAGGCGAGGAGTGTGTCCACGATCCTGGAGCAGCAGGCCCAGCAGCACCTCAAAGAACAAACCCGAAATCCGTTAATCTGTGTTATATCTGTACGTTTCCCCAATGAGCGAAAAGACATCATACACCAACAACAAGCATGTTATTTTTCTAATTCACTGGCCTGATATTATACCTCGTCCATCTGCAGGAGGGCCCACGTGGAGCGGGCTTCTGGCAGTGACACCCGTCCATCTCTGTTGCCATCGGCGACAGACAAGATCTGGCTGACGAGGCTGGCGAGGTTGGCCTGCTCTCCAAGCTTGGACTGAGAGATGGAGAAAGACGAGAGACTGAAAGTTTGTTGTTTCAGGCTTCAGATCTGGTTCTATATAAACCTTTGTGACCCACGTCCACAGTCTCTTACCTTGAGATGATTAAAGACCATTTCTCTGAACTTCTCCACTGATGTGCCTCTGGTGGGCTTGTCGAACACAGCTGCCTCTCTCCGAGGCTCCGGCTCCTCCCCCAGCTCATAGTGCACAATCTCCCCCAATTTACAACGGATGATCCCATCGTAGTCTCCCCAGCTTCCTGTGTAAACCTGATCAACAGCGGAGAGCCAAGGAAACGCTTAACATGCTGAACATAATGAATAATCAGATTAGAGCCACTCGGCCATGCCTTAATCGTTGGTCAGGGTCATTGTTACACATGTAACAACGTTAATACCACATTATCCTTTACAGAAGACTAAAGGTTTTACAGAAAGTACAATTTCCTACCTGGTTGTTTGGCAGTACTGACAGACACCTGCCCATATAGAGTGTCTCTTTGTCACACAGACTGCTGCAGGCGGAGCCATCGATGATTCCCCTCCTGTATTTATCGCACTTGGAGAAAGAGAAAACGCAGATAAGTGTTTGTAATTCTATTATCAAGTATATTCACATCACGTTTTAATTGCCACACAGACATGAGATCACATCAAACCAAAACCACTTCTAAATTCCTGAGGTTGCCTTGATCGTGTAACAACCTGTAGCCCACGTAGCACCCTTTGAATGATTGCTGTATTCAGAGTAACAAGGTCTGAACAAATGAAGAGATGAGAGAGAATCGTGCCAATACTCACGATGGCGTTCTTGCACTCGTGTCCTCTGCACAGCTCTGTGTAGGCGGAGTACTGCACATAGAGCACCCAGCTCCCCACCAGCACAGTCAGCCATGTAAGGAACAGGTACTTCACCCGGACAAAGGAGATCCGAGCCTGCAAAGAGCGAGCAGAAACAGAGACACAAAAGTTTGTTCACCCTGTTGTGAAATCCTGGCAACGTTATGTCATTACTCAATCTTCAATATTTTATATGTTATGAAATTATTGTATTAATCTATGTATCCAGACTACATATACTGCCTGTATTAACACAGAATACAGACACAGTGCACCGAAAGAGTCGCGGTCCAAACTATTCTAATCAAGCCTGCTCGCATAATAGGTTGCCACGGTGACCTATTATGTTATGGGGTGTCCCATAACAAGGTACTGGTTGGCTGATTAGTCGCTATGTGCAACAATAGCTCATTAAGCTGGAAAATGTTTTTGGAGGTGCAGCATGACAGGCCATTCTGTTTATGGCTTGTGTGTCACAGGATGCACACGTCACGTCTCACAATGCCCCTTTGGATATTGTGCAAGTTAATGCCGTCAGTGCCTTATTTTCCACACGGATAAAACACAGAAATGTGGTGATACAGATACACAATTCTTCGCTCGTTCAAGAAAAAAAAGTTGTAAAGGTGACATTACAAATCCTGAGATTTAGAGATCTTAGATCTTAACTCAAAAGAAAAACTAACTGTACACAATCTAAAGGCAAAACAACACGGCAGAAAAGAACAGCACAGGATACAGTGCACAGGGGGTTTACAGTACTAGAGCTCCAACTAATGATTAATAATAATAAATCATAATATCTAATATCTAATTTATCTGTACACTACATTTACTCTAAATTGCTTTTGAACAACAGATGAAGATTTCACTTCCATTTATGATATAAAACAGAAAAGCAATTGCCTCTGAATAGAGCAAATGTTTACTGTTATCAAAACTGGAATCAATTGGAAAGTGATGAGAAATGACTAATCAGTTGTTATATCAATCATTTCAGCTGCACATACAGTCAGTAATGATCAAAATACAATCTAATGTCAACAGCCATGCTAACAGCTCTCTGTGGCTGTACTTCAGCACAGTGTTATTTTGAGCAAAATGCTATTGTCAGCATGCTAACATGACAACAATGCTAACTAGCAGGCATAATATTTATAGTATGTTATCCTGTGAACATTTGCTAATTGGTCTTAACACAAAGTGAATCTGAGGCTGATAAAAATGTCATTAGTATTGGAGAGAATGAGGCACTAAAGCAAAGTACTGAGCTGAACATTTGACCTGATGGTGGCATTACAGACACAGGGGAGTCTCTAGTCTCTAGGATTCATCGTCTGGGGAATGTGAATGTCAGTACAACACTTCATTGTAATCATTGAGATATTTCCACCTGGGCCAAAGTGGTGAATCAATCACCTGACAGATGTTGTATGGCTGAAAACCAACCATCAGAAGCTACCACTGTGTCCACTGTGTTATCTTAAGACTGCTTCTGACCAACAGCTGAAGATTTAACTCCCAACAAATGTGTCTATTTTTGTTGGAATAGATATTCAGTCAGTTGACAAATCAGCTACAAAAATGATCATTTCAGCAGTACATATATTAGGTGCCTACTGCAATGCAATCCAGTAAAAAACATAATGAAGTAAGTTGCTGGAAGGGGAAGTGGAGCAGTGAAATGGAATTTAGGTCAAACTTGCTGTTTTAGCCCCAGTATGTGACTTGTACTAAAGCAAAACTGCAATTAGTTTTTCTTCAGGGACTGTAACGGCACTTGGGAGGATCAAGTGATTTTGACTCTCACTCTGATCACATGGCAGGAACAGCTTATGTTGTGTGTATTTTGGCAGCGTGCTGTGCTCCTCCGTTCGGCTTCAGCACGGTTTCCAAATCCCAACAAAAATATGCACCCAGCGAGGTAGGGACCAAGTCAAAAGCCTTTTAATGTTTGATGTGCTGTAATTACTGTAAACAGGAATGAAGATCTGTCTGTTTTGAGTCCATACAAGCTGCAGCAGAACACACACAGATGGTTGATTTACAGTCATTAATTCAGATTCTTTATACATTTTTGGGGCATATGACTTGTTTGTGGGTTTTGAACATGATAAACAAAACGCTAATGAGGTCCAGGGCTTTTTCCTAGAGTTTGTTCACATGAAATATGTAAAACATCCCCACTGTGAACTACGGACTTCACAGAAAAGCAAAGGCTGCATACACGAAAACCATAATTTTCCTGCCTCCCATTCATTTTGGTGCATTTCACCAAAACGTCTCTTGGCAGAAGGAGGCTGTCAGAGCTTTAACAGCGGCTTAGAGCTGGAGAGATTTCTCCTCTGCAGAGCTGCCTTGTTTTTAAACGCTCTGTGTCCCGAAGAGATGAACAAACAGATAGTGGGGCCTCCAGGGAGGGAACAGGAGGTATCAAGGGAGTATAAAGCAACCACAGTCGACTATCAGATCTGACTCCTTTGGCTTGTACAAAGGTGTGTGGAAACGCGCACAGACAAAACGGTGGAATAAAAAGCTGTTTGTTAACAGGCGGGTGACACTGAGTCATGTGTGCACGTCGTCTGTCTGATGGTGTGTCTCAGCGTGTCTCTGTGAACACATGATAAGCCTGCAATGTAAAGAAGTGAAACCTGAGTCTAATTGTTCATTTACTCCTTGTGGCCCTTCACAGTGTCTCCACTTCCTTGGAACCTATTATGTAGTGATTGTCTCAGCTAAGATTACATTTGGTAAACTTAATTGATCCCATGTAAGAATCCAAGTGCCTAAAAAAATACAACCATTTGATGTAAATGTAGGAAATGCAAAGTGTGTACTGTAAAACTGTTTCACAACTGTATTATGACCCATGAGATGAGAGTTAAGATGAGCAAAAAGAAACAAAACAGAAATACATAATAAATGTATACTTAAATGTGAGTAAAATACAGTAAAATAAAAAATATTGTAAATAAATGAGAAAGGCATACAATGTCATTAAAACGTAAAGTGGTATGACACAGTTGAGGTGGTAGCAGATTGAGCAAGATGCTGATGTTAAAATTGATGACAATAGGAGCTGTGCTGAGTTGTGCAGGAAGGAAAACTTTTACAGCTGGATGAAATATGCAAAGTCACATAGCGCAAAACCCACAGTGCAAACTACAGGGTTACCAAGCTGTCAACAATTAGATTCAGTTACTCGGCATTAACCCTCACCGAGTATCGACTGTCGTAAGGTACAGTCACTGCAGCGGACACAAAAGACCTGCACTATCAGATCTTCACATACTGCGGGTGGAACAACTTGTCACTAGGAGCTGCACACACAGTTTCAGGTAGCAACTGGAGGGCGTTTGGTCGGTAGTTTGTCCGTCGTCCTGTTCTCTTCCCCCTCCTCCCCGGAGTCCACAGAGCTCCTCAGGACAGAGCTGGCTTCTTCAGTTTGTGTCTCCCTGTCTGCAGCGGAGATGTCACTGAACCAACAAACTGCACAGGAGATGGTTGATACCATCTCAGGGTGAAAAAATGGTCTTAACACCAATCCTCCCCATTACAGGGCAAGGGTTACAGTACATAAGAACTGCAATGCTGCTTTCAAAGTTCAAAGACCAAACAGGAAAGACTGAAATTCAGGAAATACAAAACTGGCTTTCATGTCACTTTTTAAACTCCTGACCTTAGAATTTCAAAAGCCATTTGTTCTACTTGAGTTAGGAAGATGATCAGAGGTTACCCGACTTCTGTGCGCCCTTTACAACCCTGTAATTCTTCTACTAAAAACCACCCTGTGGACCTTTGTACAAACAACACACCATGTCCTGTAACATACCTGCACACCCCACCATCGCAACACATTCTGGTGTGCTGCTACAAACCAACTGGCTCCCTAACAAGACTTCTTTTTACATTTGTTACCAGCCAGAGTTTGCATTGTGCATTGTGTAGGTGTGATGACCTAAAAATAAAAAGGTACCAACTGCTTTGAAAACACAGTCAGCTACAAAAAGCACAAAAATGTACTTAGCCTAATTTGTCTCTCCTTTTACCCACAGACTGCCAAAATAGGAACAGAAACAACCCTGACAAGTGACTCAAAGCTTTACACAACGCAGTGTTGTCTGAATGTGAGTGTGTGTGTGTCTAGGTATGTGTGATAGGAACTTATCTTATTTTAGTACAGGATGAAATACAGCCTTATCATGACTGATCTTGTTGAATTAACCAGCCTATGAGGACACAGGAAAGTGCAGGCAGGTGTTGGCTGAAGCCAGATGAAATCAGCTCTGCCAACATGTCTCACCTTTCAGAGGATTTCAGCCACCAGTAGTCCATGTTCAAAGTTGTGATAAACTGACTGTAACCATGTGGTAATGAAACACTCCTCTCTAGAGCAGATGCAAGCATGCATTCTCTTGCTCTTGCATAAACCCCTGGCTGCACTGTACTTGCTGGCAGCGGGCCACTGGTACCCAAATCAGAAGGTTCAACTCTTATCATCCAAACCAAAGGATTACTGAAACAACTGTGGGCTGAGAGTGAAAGTCCTGGCAGCTGCTCAGTAATGTGAGGAGGAGATAACTTCAAATGAAGTGATATGAAATGAGAGATTCCTCTCTGGCCTGTGTTATAAGTCCTGGCATCATTTACCACAATTCCCCAGTATACACACACTCATTGGTAGGCCTGAACTCTGCTCTGTAGAAATTATGGTGGTTCAGCAAGAAAACTGTCAAGATAATATTTTATTAACAGTGACATTCCTCAGGTGTTTTGCAACAGCCCACAATTCCCATCTGAGCAGCCAGAGGTGGTAGATATTTACTGCAAGCTGTCAGTCTAACGTGACACTACGACGACCTCATTACACACAGGCTCACAATCACAACCCGCAGAATATAAACGATAATCCGTTTACAGAGCAATTATCGACCGGTGATATTACCTGGAAATAGAAAGACTTTTTCACCCAGGCCCGTGGAAACAGACCCTTCGCCATCACAAAAATAGATCATCTCAATACGTGGACCTGGCTGTGGGAGATCATCCAAAATACATGGGAGAAAGCGCCTTCCACACAAAACCAAAACCACTCGTCTGGTTCACGGAACGGGCAGAAATGACTGCATATCAGCCGGTTTCAGCCCCAGAATGATCCACAACCCCGGACTGTCGGGTTGTCTTGTCCGTGTGAACGCTTTGATATTCTACTTTGCCTGCGCCTCTGCTGTTTGCAGCAGCTGCTGATTTTCAAGCAAAGCAACATACCTCACGCTGAAAAAAACGTAGGTTCAGGGCGCAGGCGCGACTTCCTCTGCCTATAATACGTTTTAAAGTTTTCTGGTCGTCAACCAAAATTACGAAAATGTGTGTCAAAGTGCGACCATTGGTGCAGCATAGCCCTTGCTGATATCATTGAATCACTATCTGAGTGGTTGCTAAACTCTAAAGATGTGACCGGGTCATGCTACCAAGCGTGAGCGCACACTTCCGCTATGTCTTTCGCAATAAAATCCTTGATGTTAAACTGATAACCTAGTGCCAAACACAACTTCCGGTCATCGTATGCAAAATAAAAAATAACCTGTCAATACACATTTTGTTGTTGCGCGATTAAGTGGCCAAAATCTACACAAGTTTATCAAACCCAGTGTCGTTGAAATTATGAGCATTGTCAGTGAACATTTGTTTTATCTGTGAAATTGTCTGACCGTTAATTAATAATGCTGAAAACGTTAGTTGGTATTTCTATCCACATCCGCAAAAGAAACAACACCGAGAAGTTACTGTGTTTGAGCAAAAATAAATGCACTTATGCTTCTTTAAGGGGCGGATGTGCTGTGCTTAGCAGCTAAACGCCCTGCCTACAATTTCAAATGTTTGAAAAAAGGTGAACCGACAACCAGCAGCAGCGCTTCCCATAATGCACTCCCCGATCATCAGCGGGAAACCAAAATGGCGAACGTGCTGGGGGAAAATGAACCGTTTGTTATTTTCTGATGAAGACACAAGCCCCGCAAGTTTTCGCGATGTACTTTTGATATAGATTCAACTGCAGACGGAGCGGGATAATAGCGGTCATTTCTCTTGAGTTATTTTGTCGTACAAGTTTTTGTTTGAAGCGGAGGTGACCGAATGAGGTATTGTTGTCATCATGTTTTCCTCCTGTTGGGGGGTGTGGGTCCGACGGTCAGCGACCTGGCTAGGGTTACGGCTTTGCATGTGGATTATTCATGCTAGCAATCAGGCCTGTTGCTAACTGTTTCATGTACAAAACATTTTTTTAATACACGAGGTTATCTCAGACTGTCCTTTTATCCTCTCTTGTGCCTGGTATTGATCATGTTCACCCAGTACTCGAACAAAGGGAATCTCGGACTGACGGACAGAGGCTTAAAGGAGGCAGAAAATTAAAATCTTCAATTTCTAACATAATCTTATGAATTCGGTTGTACAACAGAAGATAAAAAACATTAATTGATACATTTGTAGAATTACATCAGACAACTGTCACCGACAATCAAATGCCAGATTAACTTGTGGTCTCTGTAAATGTTCGGGAAATGGTTGTAAAAACCTCGGCCTTTTATTTTTTGTTTTTTTGATGAGGGATAGATTATAGAAATACCCAGCACTGCCCTGCAGCCATCTTACTGACTGCTCGGTTGTAGTTACTTGCCAATTAGCACTAATTATGAGTATAATCACCTGTTGTTTGTACCCACTGGAGGGGAAATATCATGTGTTTCAGCATGAGGCATTGTTTTGTAATCTCCTCTGTAACGACATAATCTATCCTTGTGTTTTCTATTACCGTTACACGTGCAGGACAGTATTTTATATAAATATATGTATATATACACATATGTAAAAGAGCAGGCTGTTGCGTGTGACTTGTAGTTATTGGTTGTAAAATGAAACATCAAGCACACTGAGGTGCACACAGACTGTAAATTGTGCAGAGAATGAAATACCTGGAAAAAAATGTAAAATATAATTCACTGCTTTCCTTGTTTTAAATGCATGTCCCCCTGTTTTTCAGAGACTCAGGGGTTGTGGACCACCTGTCTGTCCATCTCAGAGCCCACCCCCAGCGGCAGCAGCAGGCTGTGTCCTTGTCCCCCACAAGCCTTTCTGCTAGAGGGGAGTATGGAGAAGACGGCATGTCTGGCAGGTTTACAGAGGGACAGGACGTCTTGGCCCGGTGGTCAGATGGCTTGTTCTACTTGGGGACAATCACAAAGGTTAGTGTGAGGAATCATTCATTCTGGCTCTGTAATTAGTTTTCTATCACATGTACCATCAGATTCCTTTACTCAAACTGATGAGGTATGGCATTCTTGGTAGGATTCCTGATTTGTTTTCTTGTTTGTGTAGATGTGTGATTCCTGTGCAGTGTGTTCATGCTTTCAGAACAGTGTTTTGCAGATTTAGGAACACATCTGTATTTCTTGTCTTTTTCAGATAGATCAGGACAAACAGCGATGCTTTGTTGTCTTTGAGGATCGTTCAAAGTCATGGGTTCTTTGGAAGGATATTCAGACAGGTAAGATCTTTCTACTTCTAGATTAACATGTTGGTGAAATATTTGGATCTTACTATTGAATAAAAATGCACTCCTCTATCAATTGCTGGAAATCTAAAAGGATATTGTGCTATTTTATTGCCTGGCTCTATTTGCACTTAGAATTGTGTGTTTGAAGTTATTTAGCTTGAAATTCTGGATTTGTATTGTGCTGTCCACACCCCTCTGCCTTCTTCTGCCTTACTTATCTCCCTACTTTTGTTACTGACAGTTAACTGTCTACAGTGTCTGCCATCAGTACAGCAGCAGTGCAATGACCACATGTGAAAATAAGGAAAGGGGAGATACACAGAGAGGCTTTGGTCTCTCCACCTACAGATCATTAAGTTAAAATGCAAATATGAAGCAGATTTCCTTTTATAGTAAAGCTTAACATGATTTGTGACGGATGGAAAATAATTGTAATAATTCTCTTTTTTTTTTTTTTAATTTTTTTTTAATTTTATTAACTAATTCTAAATAAAGATCCACATGTTGCTTCACAGCTGTATGTTCACAGTGTGGTATTATTGATTTCAAAAGTTAACAGCAGCTTGTTTTCTGCTGACCTCCAGTGGTTGAAGTTCTCACTTTGCGGCAGTGATGGTAGAAGTCCATTTGTGGTGTTTCACTACACCCCGACAGCACCTTTGGGTGTGGTAACAGGAGCAACAGACCAACAGCCTGGTATTAGGTTACTCTTTAAATGGTCACTTCATCCACATGAGTGATGTGCGGATTGGGTGGGCCCAGTCATAAAAATGAATTCTGGGCAACAGATGGGTTGTGGATGGGTGAAATAATATATAATGTATGGGAAAAATATTAATTACATTCGCTACAATGTGAACATATTTTAAGCTTCTGTTTGGAATGCTGATCTTGTCATGTTTTATTATTTATTTTGGGCAGCGGCCAAACATTATTATGAATTTTTGGATTTGGATTGAATTTGGATGACGCCAGAGCAAAGAAATAGTCCTTATAGTCGCCTCTTTCCTGTAGAACTCAGTTGGATGTTCTTACTAGCCCGCATAACGGCTAGTTGTAAAGGAGTTGTGAGTCTTTGCCCTGACGTTTTCTGTCTCTTTCAGGGGATGAAGATGATGAGGATGATGAGGACGATGACATTGTGTGCTCCATTTGCCAAGATGAAACTTCAGAGGAACCCAATGAGATTGTCATTTGTGACAAGTGTGGACATGGTACTGTTCATTGTCTCTGATGCTCTTAAAACTTGAACATCTGTAATCATCTAAGTATTGCGTTCTAATCTCTGGCCATTAGGGTCTTTGTAATTCTTGAAAGAAGGACCCAGTAGATGGCAGCTGGATCTAAATATGTTTGTTGTCTTTAAGGTTACCATCAGGTGTGCCACTCCCCCATCATTGATGCCTCTGTCATTGACTCAGATGACAAGTGGCTCTGCTCAGAGTGTGAGCTTACTTCTATACCCAAGGTACAGCTTTCTCTTTGAGTATAAACACATACAATCTTTAGTTGAATGTATAAGTTGTTTGATTAAATGAGTGTGTATTTACCTGATAAATAGCTATTCTGTAACTTTAACTGTAAAGCATAATGGAGAAAAGAGACTGCAAGATAAGAGTAAATAGCGTATATGTGTGTACATAGTATATGTTGGGGTAAACATGCTTTTTGTCCAATTGGTGTATAGAGGGGGAGTGGTCACAGGAGGGGAGCGTCTGCTAAAGGTTTTCCGCAGCAGGAACAACAGCAGCAGCAAATGGAGCTGCACCTGTCCTTCCCCTACGCCCTACAGGAACTGGTGTGGGACCAAGGCCACAAGACTAACATCCAGAAGTGTTACTGCTACTGTGGAGGCCCAGGAGAGTGAGTAACACATTACATACTTGAAAGCACATATACACGAATCTGAATGCAGAATTTCCTACATGTACATGTTTTTAAGAATCTTAATATCATGTATGCCAGTGCAGTTAACCACTCTCTCTGTGTCTTTCCTTCTAGTTGGTACCTGAAGATGTTGCAGTGTAACAGGTGTCAGCAGTGGTTCCACGAGGCCTGTCTCCATTGCTTACAGATGCCCATGCTCTACGGAGATAGGTGCAAATACCAATATCCTAAACTATACGTTCCACAGTTGAGAATATTTATACCATGTTTGTTGAAAAGGCTCTAGTTTGGCTAGCTAGTACATCGGCTTCATGTTAAATGTCACTGATTAATTCTCACCAGAGCAACCAAGAAAAAAATTAACCCAAAATTAAGATAACTGAAACCAACACTTAAAAAATAGTCAATGCTCTTTTTTTATTTGTTTCCGTGGACCACTCCAAGTTGTCCTGCTAGAGAAATACTGGAAATTGAGTAAAGGAAATGATACCAAACATTGCCCTTTCCTTTGGAATCAAATTATTTTGAGGTGAAATAAAGCCAGCTAATGAGGTAATGTGTTTTTTCTTCAGGTTTTATCTGTTTATTTGTTCTGTTTGCAATGGTGGACCAGAGTACCTTAGCCGACTGCCTCTCAGATGGTAAGTGTGAATCCCAAGATGTATGTTCAGCTTTGTCACAGGCATGTGACTGCACTTCTTTCCAGAGTAGTCCGTTTTTAGATATAATGCCCTATCTTACCACTTATAATACAGTTACAGTCTTTTAAGTATCTTAGTTTGTTTTGTTTTTTGCGCACATTAGCAGTGCCACTGTGCATTACCCGCTCCCACAATTCCTGCATTTTCTACACATATTTGGTCTTTTTATGATATTCTTTTTGAACCAGACTAAGTCAAGAAAACACTGCTTTTACAAAAATGTTTCAGGGAGGATGTCACACACTTGAGCCTGTACAACTTGAGTGTGATCCACAAGAAGAAGTACTTTGACTCTGAGATGGACCTGATGGCTTACATCAATGACAACTGGGAGCTGCTGCAGCTTGGGGAGGTAAGTTTTTACTTGTAATGCTCAGATGGCCAATTGTGTACACAGTTTTGTTTTTATAGAAAGATTTTATTTTTATTCAAACAAAACATAGCTTAAATGTGCTATGTGTAAGAATGTGAAGTAATTGACATGTATTAATCGCTTTACTATTGTCAATGTGTGAACAGATTGTAATGTAACTAAAAAAAAATGAGACCTTCCCTGATTTTTTTTCGATTGCATGTAACAACCTTTGGACCTTCTTCGATGTAAAGGCAAATCCGATCTGATACCATATATATTAATACACTTAATAGTTTCATCACAAAAATAAAACAGCAGTTTTCCTGAAAATCAATTCTTCTTTGCTGCTCCAAAACAGTAGCCTACACAGCATGTTGCGCCGTGCAGCCAGATTTCCGGTAAATAGTGTTAATGTTGGCCGAGGTCACTAATAGGCGGACCATGGTCTCGGTCCAGACCCAGATGGTGGCGTATTTAGGTCCGACCTTATAACCTATGAGTTATTGAGAATCATACACTTTAGTGGAGCGTTTCTATTTTAACCGGTGCAGCTTTTCAAGCCTTTACAGCACTGGTCACATGATGCTGTTGAACCAATCATTAAAACTCAAGCCAGTGAGCGAGATACACACACACGATTAGATGAGAGACAGTTTGACAAATAAGTGATGTAACGGGCGGAGTGGGATATAAGGGTGAAAGAAAGAGAAAAGAGCGAAAGATAAAAAGAGACCTTATATTGTTTAGGATAAAAATGGATGAGACTGTTAAGATGTGAAATAAACTCGAAGCCGGTACTATTTTTCTAAAATTAAGCAGGTATTTTCCTTGAAATGAGTGTATTAGAACAACTAGTGTAGGAATACCCTGGCTGCAAGAGTGGGTTTTGAAACAGCATGTTGTTGATTTGTGTTTGCTCATTTTCCTCCTTGCACCCTGACTTTCCTGTTTGGTAACCTCCCCTTCCCTGTGTCTGCAGCTCGCAGACACTCCAAGATCAGAGCGATATGAAAGTGTTCTGGAGGCATTAAACAACAACAGCAGCATGTAAGTTATTTCCTTCCCCATTTATTTGTTTATGATGTTCATGATAGTCTGAAAGTGGTCAACTAACTCTTTCTTGTGTGTTCCTACCCATCATTACTCTCTCTCCTTTTTCTCTCTCTGCCAGGTTCATGTCAGGGAAGGAGGTAAAGAAGAAGAAGCACCTATTTGGCCTGAGGATCCGTTTCCCTCCTGCTCCCCCCAACTCTGATGAGGCGACCAGCAGAGTGATGGAGAGGGCTTCACATGAAATCACCATTAAGGGATGCAAGTCCACCAAAGCACTGTCTGGCATGAGGTAAGATGTGAAACTTATACTTGATGCTACTTGAAGTTTTGAAATTTTGGGTTGGACATCACCCAGAAAAAAGCCCCAGCCCCCTGACTTTAAGTCATAATATGAGCTGAGTTTTTGTTAATGACACAGAATAAATCCCTTAACATTCATCATTGAAAGCTATAAAGTGCTGACCTGATGCCTAAAAGTCAAAAGTGAGAAAAAGTGAGAAAAATCTGCAACAAAGCAGTGTTTATATTTTCCTGCACTTAGTAAATTGTTTCATAATATGTGACTCCTTTACAGTTTGTGTTTTTAATGCATAACTGTCATTACTTGTGAAACTACTGAAAAATGATGTTCCTGTGCTCTAGGACTTGCAGTACTTTAACCAATGGCACAGAGAAAAAGAAGAAAAAGAAGAAAAAGAGGAAGCAAGGAGCTCGTTCTCTGGAAACTCTGGCTAAACCACAACGCTCCAGTGAACTCTTGTCCCAGGTGTGTGTTCGTGTGTGTACATTTGCATGTATGTCTTTATGGGCGTTAGCTGGGTGTGTACATAACTTTAGTTAGGGGTGGGTATTTTGACGTTATTCTGCATACATCTTGGCTCACGCAGCCATTCTTGTGAGAAAACTGTAGCCTCTAATGGACACGTTGAGAAAGTGTTAGATTAGAAGAAAAACCCACTGAGAAATGCTAACAGTTTTTACTTTGCTTTGACAGCAAATGAGAAAGCCTCTACCACTTGAGCCCCATGCATTGGATCACTTAACTTCTATCAAGTAAGTAAGCAAATGTGGTGCAAAATGAAGTCCTAAACAAGGTTAGAGATGAGATAGATTCTGTTTTGATTAATTGATGACTTGGTGTAGAAAACACCAGAAAGTGGTCAAAAATACCTGTCACAACCACCATGACTTCCTCAAATTGCTTAATTTTCTTAACAATTCCTGATCAATTTTCTGTGTGACCAAAATAACATTAACTAATTAATATCATTAGCCTGCAAATGTTGTTATTTCATATGATATTTACCCTTGGTAAGGGACGTGCTGCTCAGATGGGAAGCAGTGGCAACTGTGGTTAGTGTCAAATATATGGCACTCCTGGAATTAATTTTCTTGGAGTTTCTTTCCAACAGCATAGGTGCATGAGTTTGTCATCATTGTTTTGCAATGTGCAACTGTCAGAAAAATCATGCCAGCATCGATAAAAGGAATTTATTAGCTCAGACGCATACAAATCCAATGTAGTGACAGTAAATTTCAGCAGCAGTTTTCTTTTTCCGTCTCTAAGGATTTTTATCGAACTGTTTCTCTCTCTCTCTTTCATTTTAATGTCGCCACCACACCAGGAGTGACAGGTCTCTGCTGTCTTCACAAACTTCAGATGTGGAATCCATAGGAGCCCTGAGCACCTCAGAAACTACCTCAACTAGCATTTCAAGACAGTCAAGGTATGCCTGCTGTGCAACTGCAACATTTACCCTTTTCTCACATTGACATTTGTGGCTCTATAGATGGCGACGCTGGTGTGTCAGTTGCTCCATCACTTCAATCCAACATCTCAACAACTATTGGATGGATTGTCATGAAATTCTGTGACATTCATGATCACCAGAGGATGACTCCTAACATCTTTATGGATCGTTTGACATTTCGTGTAGTTCCACCTTGAGGTTGATATTTGTGGATTTGAGTCAAATGTCTAAAACTATTGGATGGATTGCCATAAAATTGGTACAGACATGCAGGACATGGGGAATATGAATCTTATTTTGAAAATACATATGTTTTGAAAAACATTATACCTCCTCGACATCTGCATGCTGTCATTGCCACTGTGAGTATGTTAGCATGCTGACATTAACATCTACCTCAAAGCATCACTGTGCCCAAGTGCAGCCTCATAGAGCCACTAGCATATTTAAAGATTCTTAATTTAGTTCTGTATAGCTTGTTTTCTTAATTCCCTCAGAATTAAAATCAGTTTTTAACTTCCTCTTTTCCCATCATCAAACACCCCTCCAGCCTCTGTAGCTCCAGCAAGACGCGCACGACAGCGTGCATCATGCCTGTTTCCTCTCCACCCTTAAAGAGGAAACGTGGGCGGCCACGGCGGGCCCTGCAGCCCCCTAACCCGGAGATCCCCCCTCCCAGCCATGCAGACCCAAACCCCTCAGCGACAGAGATGCTGAGCAGCCTTCCAGGGCTTCACTCAACAGACATAGTTCATGGCATGGACCCCAACAGCCAGCTCTCCCACCTCAAGAGCTCCATCAGCAGCTATTTCGGAGCAGCAGGGCGGCTGGCTTGTGGGGAAAAGTACAAAGTCCTGGCCCGACGGGTCACCCTTGATGGCAAGGTGCAGTATCTGGTGGAGTGGGAAGGAGTCACTGCCTCCTAGGCTCGCCACTGTCATCATCATTTCTAACTTTTAACCAGCACCTACAAGAGGTTTATGGCTGTGGTGAGGACGCTTACACAGCCTGTATTTGGAGCATTAATTGATATATGCCTTTGTTTAGTTTAGACAGGAGCAAGTGTTGCCTGATAAGCTTACTGTAAAGCCTACTGGTTCTGTGCAGTCCATTGTGATCATAGCACATTCAAACATATGAATTTTCTTCAGGTGTTTAAGGATTATAGTTCATTGATAAAGACGAGGCATAGTCGTTATACCACACCATATTTATGTTATTTTGCTTTTAACTTTCATCTTCTGCATTGAATGTTTACAGGAACCCCCATTTATTCAGGGGTAAATAATTGATCAGTGCACTGCACCTGTAGGCTTTCAGATAACCATTATTGTGCTTGTTTTTGATCCAGTGATATGCTTTTCATTTCCAGACTCATTAAGAATGAAACTGTACACAATGAACAAAATGTAGTTGTCCAGGCATTTAAATGGTGAATCATGGGGGATAAGAGAAAGAGGGGAAGTTTTGTTCAAACCTATTATTTTGACAAACTGCAATCATGCAGTGAAGAATTACATACGTTTGATTAACACTTATTTTCTTAACGTATTTGGTAAATAAAAACATGTCCCTTTCCATCAGTGACCCCTCCTTCTCTAGTCCTAGCTGCAAGTACCTCTTGTTGCCTTGGGCAGATGTATCCTTCAGTTCTGTTTGGAGAGAGTGCTCACTTGTGAGCAGTTCAGGAGGAAATCAAAACAAAAGAGATGTGCTGCTGCAAATGTTTATTATTTTATATAGAATTATACTACATTTATTATTACCTTTTCTACTTGTACTTTCTTGAATGCCTTTTTCTGTTCAAAATGGCAGATTTTTCTGATTTCTGATTATTATTTTTTTTTAAATTATGGATTGCACATATCAAATTCTATCTGTTAGGCCATCATGTCATTTGAACAGATAAATTGAGCTTTTTCAAACCCTACAAGGCAGCATTTAGCATGTATGTCATAACTCCCAACAGTTTGAATTTAAGTGCGTCTTAAAAATAACATCCCTAAATGAATTATAATTTCAGTGTGTAAATGTTCAGAATCCCATACACAAGAGGATACCTATTAAACTGTGTGCATTCTGAACAAACTCATTTTTTTTCATAGTTAAGATTTTGTTAAGAATCTTCTGTCTTTGTCTAAATATATATCATTTTAAAGCATTTTGATTTGAAATTGATGACTGTTAACTTTGAAGTCTTTAAGGACCTATTTAGTTTTTACTTTCTCATAGTTACTCAAAAAAAAAGAAATAAAGTGCTGAGTAAGATGAATGTTGTATACCCGGTTCCCAGTTCAGAATTGTTTTGGGGTTTTTTTTTTGTGCTGCCTATGCAAGTTAGTCCTGGAAAAATGTATTGTTTCATACAGCTTGACCACGGGGAGCTTCAGCATTACTATTTCGACGATTTGACTCAGGTGTTTCAATTTTGTCATGTGATGGGTGCAACAAAAAAATAATTTAAAAATGCACTTAGATTTTTCTTTTACATTCAAGTCACCTTGTAGTCTACACACTCAGGATATGCCCAGAAACTTCACTGTATTGCATAGGCCAGCATTTGCAGCTTGACAGGAGGTTTTGATATAAGTTATTTACTCAGTGTTCTTGGTCAGTATTTTTATATTGGGTCCTCCATTTGTTGCATTTCTTCGGACCGTTATGTAATTATGCTTTTTTTTTTTTTTTTTTTTTTTTTTTCTTATGAGCAAAATAATTTGTAGTCCCTTTTTACTGCTACTTTTGCTTGTTTAAACTGAGTCAGAAAACAATCACTGGAAAACTAATATGCTGTATGTCATTGCAAGAGGTAAATATTCAGTTAGTATGGCTATCTCCTTTTGGAGATGTTTTTGTTTGACATTGATACCTCTTCATTGTAGGGATGTAGTCAGTGCATTTAAAGCTTCTCTCCTCTGTTCAGTCAGTGTCTCGGCCCACATGCTGCCATCACTGACTTCCAGCAGGCTTCTGCAGCCAAAGAACGTACGTCTGCTTTGTCTCTTGAGATTCTTCTTATTACATTTTTACACATCATTATATAGGTTGACGTGTTACTTCTGAACCTGTTTTGTTAAAGGATTAAATAAAAGCAGATATTTTTAACTTTTGTGTCACGTGGTGTGTGTTTTTTTGCCTGTAGCTAATATTAAACTCCAGTCTCAGAAAAACCCACCGTTGGAAATCTGACGGTTCTAGTGCACACGCGCCGTTCTTCGCGGCTACTGTCAATGACGACCCTCTCCACCAATCATTTCACAGACGGCGTCTAGTTATCCAATCACAAAACGCGTTGTTTAAGAGTGGGCGGAGACTTCAAATACAAATCGTTCTAGTAACAGTGCCTTTAGCTGTATATATACTCATGTAACATGGAAAGCTTTGTTCAGACAGAAGTTAAAATTACATATTTTATGCGTACATAGCGCCAGGACGACAAAATCCATATTTTATTCAAAACAAAAACGTCGTTGTCCGGTTGGTGGTAGCGTTTACTCTAAAACAACTATAACGTTAACTAGCTAGCCACCTGTTGATGCGACGAGCATCTGTTTACATTTAGCGAGCGTAGCTATGCTAGCTAGTTTGCTATTCTCTGTTGTAGCCACAGATGTTTAAAATGTAGCGCTTAATGTGTAGTCGGTTTCCTGTACCTTTCCAACGAGTCACACAAGTTGGGAATGTTGTTTGAGCACCTAAAAGCTAAACTCAGCAAGTCAAGACATTTTTGATTAACAAGAGGTCGACATGTTCTCATCATTAGTCCAATGTTTGAGTACGAGGAGAGTTTAACCCAAGATGTGGTCAATCTGAGGAATCTGCTTCGACTGACGGACCACAACCTGCGAAGTGTCGGACAGAAACTGAGGTTTGCTATCTGCATGACATGAGCACACAGTATAAACCAGCTGTTGAGATCTTCGACGCCACTTATCGTACTACAGCGTAAACCTGCAACCATCATTTGAGGACACTGCAAAGGTTTGGGAATGCTGCATTTGACTCCTCTATCTTCTGTCCCCTCTCTTGATTTCCTACTCGCTAGTCCATTTTGCAGTCATGCAGAGGGTCATGATGGTGATTGTGAGCAGCAGAGTCCTCATCGGCTGACCTTACGAGACCTGCAGACCCCTGATGTTCCTCTGTCCCAGTCAGGCTGTGTTTGGCAGGAGGGGGCTCTCAGTGGGACGGCTGAGAGACCTGCCTTTGTTCGTAGTCTTAGCCCACCTTTCTCCAACTCTACGGTAAGAGAAAAGACGTGTGTCTTATTGAGTGAAAAACTGAACAGACAACCAATCAGTTACTGTACATCATCTATCATCTTGTCTCATGCTACATACTGTATATGTGCATGTGTAGGGAAGTGGTACTTGTCACATCTCCCAAAACATAGATGAATTAAAGATGTGTCCACTTAAAACCACCTTTTATAAATTTGCAGATTTACATTGTTATTTACATCAATAGCCATAAATGAGATGATATTGTTACAGTTAGTTTTAAACAATGTAAATATGGTCTGTGCAACAACTTGTGTTTGTGAGGCAGAGGGAAATCAGTTTCCACCTCTAGTCCATTTCTTAGTAAGCTCTACATTTAAAACAAATAACCTATATGAAAGATACTTGGTAATAAACATTACCTGTGGAACGTCATATCTAAAAGGCAAATAAAAAACTGTACACTCCTCACTACAAACACACAACTCTCATCCACATCTATGTTCTTCCTTCTTTCAGTCTGCTTCAGTCAAAATCAGGTCAGTAGACATGGAGACCATTTCTTTGAGGAAGAAGTTGGGCTGTGCGCTGCGTCAGGAAAACGCCTGCCTGGCCATGCAGGATGAGCAGCTCATCAGTGACATTGATGCGATGCAGTATGAATTGGCCACCTCAAAGTCTCAGGTATGACAATCACCCCTACATATTTGATTTGTGTGCATAAAGGTGCTGTATTCTTAAAACACTGTATCTTGTGCTTCAAATTTGTCTGTGCTGCCAGTGAATAAAGTGTGAGTTCTTAGATGTGTTCATGTGTGACATTGACAAAAGAGATTGTTGTGGTCTATTGCTTATTGAAAGTCACTTTAAAAATCACATCAGTGAAATAACTCTAAACATTTAAAATTGTGCTATAAACAGAAACCACAATGGAAAATGACAATAAAAATTGTATATGTTTTCTTTTTTTAGCTCCACCTCAGAGGCCCTAGGGTTGGGGTTAAAAACAATGTGGCAGTCATGAGTGAGCAGATTCGTCAGCTTCAAGCAGAGCTGGAGGCTCAAGCAAAAGAACTAAAGTAACCGCATGTCCTTAACATATACAGATGTTGCTATTTATGTAAATCTTATTTGACAGTTCTATGCCTGTTGATAGACTTTGGATACTAGATTGGTGTTGTGTTATGGGGTACAGGCAGTTATTGATTATATTGTCTATAGACAATCATTCTAATAGAAACTATTGTTTTCAGGACTCCTACTGGGGTAGGCTTGATTATGGCTTTTAATGATTTACATTTTACCATTACATTTCTTTCATTCTTCAAAATATTACACTAACCTCTAGCTGGCATTAATGTCCTAACAACCTACCATTGTCTGTGTTTCCCAGGGCAGCAGAGCTGAGGGCTGAGTGTAGCCAGGAAGCAGCAGCCCACAATGACATTGTGGTGGCGAGTGTCACTGAAGAGCTGGGTGCTCTGAGAGACGAACTGGATAACAAGACAGCACTAGGAAAACGGTGATGTATTAATCTGGGCTTAACTTCCCCACATTCATGTAACTGCAGTATGCAGTATAGTTTACAGTTCCTCCAACTTGGGTAACAGCATGATCATATGAAACTGATCTGCTATAATGACAGTTGGACTTGGGCCTTACGCTGAAATGTAACCAGATATCCCACGTCTAATTTACTTTCACAACATGATGAACTTACTGTTTTAGTACTTACTGTGTGTTCTACATCATTCCTTACAGGGCTGAGCAACAAAGGAACCAAGCACTTGAAAATGCAGAGAAACTCAAAGAAGCTTTCAAAGATTACAAGGCCACAATTTCCATTAAACTTAGGAGGGTAAATTTAATTAATATGAATAATTTAATTATTCAAATATTGAAGTATTTTTTAAACTATTTTTTTGCTGCATGTTGATGACAAAAATGTGTTTTTAAGGTGATGGAGAGTGAGAGCAATCTAAAAGAGAGTCTCATTGAGTGTGACAGAGAAAAAGAGGAGCTGGAGATGAAGTGCACCGTGTTGCAGAGAGAAAAGGCAGAACAGAGCCGAATAGTCAGGTACCTGAGAGACTGATTGTTTCATATAATTGTTTCTGTATTATTGTTTTCTTAAATATTTGCATGTGTAAACTAAAACAATGTGGACGGGTTTTGATTTATCATCATCAATCAAATCTTCAAGAAGCATTTGCTTTATGCCGGTTGTCATGTTTAATCCTCTTTATTCTGCCTCTCAGCCAGCTGAAGGAGGAGGTGAAGCAGGCCAAGTGTTCGGCTGCTGAGAGCTCAGACCTCCAGGCTCAGCTGGAGGAGGCCAGACAACGGGCCTCTCTTCTGGAACGGCAGCTTGTGGAGCGGGGAGCGGAGTGCAGGGAGCTGGCCTCTCTGCGCAGGGAGCTGGAAGACCTGCGGACTGTGACCCAGAGCCAGGAGCAGAAGGTGGCCCAGAGCCACAGAGAGGCTCAGCAGAGCCAAGCAGAGCTGTCCAGCCTGGAGAACATACTGGCCCTGCTGCATCTACAAGAGGTGGATAAACGTAATACACACATTAACATTGTCTTTTGTGTTCCCATGTCACATGTTTTTGTCAAGTAGCTCACAACGTTTGACCCAAGGGATTGTTACATCATTAGCTTATTTGTTTTCCCAAACCTGGTTTTGGTACCACGGCAACTACCCCAAACATGTTCTCATATTTATCTCTTCATCTCCTCCTGTGCAGGAGATGATGTGTTTATTGTTGTCATATGGTATTTTTTAACTTCAGGGTGCTGTGTGGCCACTTTGTGCCAGGCCATGCATGCTGCCGCCAGTGGACTATTCAGGAACTGCACACCTGCTGAAGCTAAAGCCAGGTAACACTGATTATGTATTACAGAGGGGTGACAAATTAAAGGTGTTGGGCCGCCACGTGCCACCAGAACACCTTCAATGCTCCTTATCATTAATTCTTCAAGTCTCTGAACTCTACTGGAGGGATTAATACCTTTCTTCCAAAGGATATTCCCTCATTTAGTGTTTTGATGATGGTGGTGGAGAGCGCTGTCTTACACGTCAGTCCAGAATCTCCCTTAGATGTTCAACTGGGTTGAGATTTGGTGACTGTGAAGGCCATAGCATATGATTCACATCATTTTTATACTCATCAAACCGCTATCAGTGACCCCTTGTGCTCTATGGGTGGGCAACTTGTCATCCTGTTTCTTTCCTTTTAATTTGTCACCTGTCTGTATATATCCCTGTTAATGGAAATTCTAAGTCTCCTTTTGCTTTTCATTATTTTCTATATTTTTTCTCTACAAATTTTTCTTTTTTTTCTTAGTGAAATTATTTTTGGATTCTTGAAACTGTAGTTAGAATGAGAGACTCATTGTGCATCCTTTTTGTGCTTGAGCCGTATGCACAGGTGTCTCACGTCAGTTGGCAAAAGTAAGTTTGGGAACTGCCTTCAAAGATATTATTTACATTTACATTCCAAGTTTATGCTGCTTGGAAATACAGTTAATAAAATGGCATTAGATGACAGGTACCTTTCACTAATACATGAGATTAAAAAAAATAGAAGCACTCCAGTCCTTTCTCTCACTCTCTCATTTCTTGCAGGTGAAGGTTACCAGCAGCTGCTGCGGGTGCTGCAGTCGACAGAGGCTGAGCGGACTAAACAAAGCAGCGTGGTCGAGCGGCTTCAGGAGCGTCTGAGGAGAGCCCAGGAGGAGATCTCTTCCCTGCAGAGCTCCATGGCCCAAAGAGCCTCCCACTACCAAAGCCTCCACACAGAGCTGCTGGACAAAGTCAGCCAAGCCACTGACACAGAGAAAGAGGTAACTTTTTCTCTTTGTCCAAACTTGAGGCATGATTATTGGTTATTACAGGTTGTTGAGCTTTGCTTTTTATTTTTCTGTCTCTGTTTCACCTCAGTTGAAGAGAAAAAGTGCTCGTGTGTCTGCGCTGGAGAAACAGTTACAGGAGAAGACTTCAGCCTACAGTCAGGCTGCACTGAAAAACACTGAGCTGGAGAATCAGCTACTGGTACAACACACACACTTACACACACGTTTTTGTCAGATATGATGAGGAAAGTTCTGGTCTTTTTATCTATGAATATAGCTGGACACCTGCCAAAAGCTACGAGCTTTAGGCCCTGTTCAGAGCGGGCATTAACATCCATCTCGGGCGATCTGATCACATGTGGCCGCATTCTTTGAGCAGTGGGAACGCAAATGCGTCGTGGGTGAAGGACCGCCTACATCCCGCCAAAGTTTCATAATGAACTCAAAATAGTTTACTATTTCAAATGGCTAAAACCTTATTTCATTGTAGAGATGTGTACAGCGCATTGATTCGCTCAGCTCCTCTTTGTCTCCTTCTCTCTCTCTCTCTCACACAAACATATTGACAATGGACATGTCTGTCGGACTGGCTAAAAACAACAATGCATATCTGTTCATTTGCATATAAGCGTGGGGAAGTGAGATCTGATCCCAACTGGTCATTCAAGTCGTATGTGGAGTATTTTAATACCAGGTGTGAACTGATGTGCTTCGAGCTGTCCACTCGTGATCGGATGTTAGTGCCTGTTAACATCATGTTGATGTCCGGTCTGAACAGGGGCTTAGTCACAATTCACAACCTCTTACGGTAGCATTTTTTTTTTTTTTTTTTTACACTTTCCTTTATCTAATTACAGGAGAAGACCAGCACTCTTCAACATTATCAGTCACTGATGACCAAAAAGCAAAGAGAGTATCAACAGTCTTTGGACAAGTGTAAAAAATCACAGTCTCAACAATGCATGGAGCAACAACACAGAATAGAAATGGTAATCTACAATTGTTTCAGACTTACTTTCTCTCCTTTGATCCTTCAACGTGTAAATCTGCCACAGCAGCATGTTAGTTTTCAGTTCATCAGCGACAGTCATTCAAGTATGATTTTAATTTAATCGGCACTTAGAACAGACCCTGCTTTTAATACAGCAAAGATTTTTCTAAACTGTCATTCCTTGTAGCAAGTGACAGTATTTTCTCTCCTCTGCAGTTGCAGTTGTCTGTAGAAGAGGCTCAGTCTCGGGTGTTAGAGATGGAGCAGGAGCTGTGTTTACTCCAGAGGGCGCGAGACGAGGCTCAAAAAGCAGCTCTTGTGCTGCAGACCACCGTGGAACAGCTGACACAAGTAAGGACACTCACTGGGTAAAGCAGAGGAGCCATTTCAGACTTATGTCAAAGGTACAACAACTATAATTTAACCCAGGTATATACTGTGTTGTTACATATGGACAATTTTGATCTTGACATGATTTCAGGAGAAGCAGGTTGAAGTCAGACACCATGAAGAGTTGCTGCAGAGTTTCAAAGAGCAGGCAGCTCAGTCTGCCACCAAGGTTTGTAGACAAACACAAATAACCTTTTTAACTGTACAAAAACTAATTCCACCACAACCGCTGGTTCATACCATCCATGGCCGCTGTTTGTACATCAGGTGTGTGAGCTACAGTCGTCTCTGTCAGCGTGTAGAGAAGAACTGGCCTCATACCTGCAGCAGATGGAGGAGGTAAAGTCGAACTATGAGAGTGAGCTGCAAAAGAGCAATCACAAGGTACAGTGTTACGTATGATCAGAGCTCGTCTTTCAAACTTTAAGACTTTTATAAAGGAAATAAAAATATGCATCTCTGTGTTTGTTCTCCCCTGTTCTTCTATGTTTAAGCAAAGATCACTCGTCAGGCTTATATCTTCTCCCCCGCTCCTCCCTCTTCAGGTGTCCTCGCTGCAGGAGAAGCTCCACAGCACCAGCTTGGTTTGTCAGAGCTCCAGTGAACAGAACCTGCAGCTGCAGCTTTCTCTCCAGCAGCAGCAGACCATGCTGACTGAGAGCACCGCCCACATCTCTGAACTGGAGGAGGGCCAGAGCCAGCTGCAGAGACAGGTAGGATGGAGAGACTTAAACACACAGTGTGTAACTTCTGCTGCTTGGTGCCTCTCAATCAAAACAATAACTAAAGATGGCGTTGGTGACATCATGAAGTAGTGTGGGATCATGGGAGTAGTTGTCTTCACCACCATTGCCGAGAGAAAGAGGCTGAGAAAAGTCAGAAAAAGCAACATATTGTGTGTATCAGAAAAAATATATTTTCTTCTTTATCCCTATATCAGTAATAACAATTTAATAATGTCATACAGTGTCATAGATCAGTCACAGGGGACATTTACTGCAGAACCAGTTGCTTTCCTGCTCATATTATAACTCCATGAAGCCTATAATATTTGTGTACCACAGCCGCGAGTGAACTGATCTCAGCTTGTTAAATACAGAGGGTCACACTTCAGCTTTTTATGCATCAAATCCATATTTGAAGCTCATTAAACTCAGAGTATTTGGATAAAACAGTATGAGGAAAAATTAGGTGTATGAGCCAGTTTGTTCCAGCTGTTATTTCACTGTGTTGCAACAATAAATGTCAATCGATAATCAATATTTCAGATGTTCTGTTGCTCAGATAGATAGATAGATAGATAGATAGATAGATATGTTTATGTGTCCTCAAGGAGGAAAATCTTTTCCACAGTAGGTGCATGACACAGACAATTAGGACATATATAGAGACTTATATAAAGTTATACAAAAAATACAAAACACAAAGTGGGACATACGGAGGACGTACAGATTGTACAAAATACAGGATTTATGGGATGCTTAATTACATGGTTCACACAGACACAAGACATGGATTGACACTGTACATACCGCAGGCATGATTTTGTTTTGTATCTAAGGAGGGAATTATAAAGTGGAGAAAATTATTGTCACACCATGTGCTAGAATTACTGAGCAGTGCGAGGATGACCGTGTCCTCTGCATGTCTAAGGTAGTGGGTAATGATGGATGGACTGTGACAGTAGTTTGTATAGAGGGTGTCAGCTCACTTATAGGTTGGAGCTACAGATTGTTTACTTTAAGTGTTCTAGTTTCATCAATGTTAATGTTGATTCATTTGATAAAAACGGTAGGATTTCTGGCCTCTGGCCTAACAACAGCTGATCACAGATCTGACCTGAGTCTGTGACCTGGAGTCGTTAATATCTAACAATTGATGAAAGATAAACTTCATGAGATAAGTAGATTGACATTTTTAGGCATTCATTCCCCTTTTTAGTGGATGTTGATTGCTTTCTCGTGCATCAAAAGCACCTATTTTGGTCACATCATTGTCTGATCTGAGAAGCACTTCCTCATTTGTGTCATTTATCAAGTCAAATTAGTTTTATTGGCATGAAATGAAACCATTTTTGTTGCCAAAACAAAATAGAAGAATAGATAAAGATACATATGGCCATGTGACATGTGCTTCCAAGTCATTTGATTTGGATTTACCAGGGAAAATGAAGCTGATTTTTCGTTTGTGTTCATGGCACCAATTATGCTCTCTGTCTCTGCTGATCACATAATTTTACATGTTGAGCAGCTGTGCAGAGCACTCCCTTTAATAATCCCCCTTTAATAAGTTATGTATTGTCAGACTGGTTTTCAGGTTTGCAATAGGACTGATTATGAGTTCTTGGAAATTACACTCACTGAGCACTTTATTAGGAACACCATAGTAATACTGGGTAGGTCCTCCCTTTGCTCTTAAACAGCCTCAATTCTTCATGGCATGGATTCCACTAGATGCTGGAAACTTCTTTGAGATCCTGCTCCGTGTTGACATGACTGCATCACATCATTTCTGCAGATTTCTCAGCTGCACATTCATTCTGCCAATCTGCTGTTCGACCACATCCCAAAGGTGCATGACCTCACTGTCATGTTCATGAAACCAGTTTGAGACAACTTTTGCTTTGTGACATGGTGCATTATCATGCCGGAAGTTGCCATTAGGAGATGGTAACTTGTGGCCATAAAGGGATGAACATTGACAGCAACAATACTCTGATACTCTGATTGGTATTAAGGTGCTCAAAGAGTGGCAAGAAACCATTCCTCACACCACTACACCACCACTAGCAGCCTGGATCGTTGACAGAAGGCAGGTTGGGTCCATGGATTAATGCTGTTGACACCAAATTCTGACCCCACAGCAGATCCACATTCATCAGACCAGGCTACATTTTTCCATTCTTCAACTGTTCAGTTTTGATGAGCCTGTTTCCACTGCAGACTCAGATTTCCCTTCTTGGCTGACAGGAGTGGAACCCAATGTGGTCTTCTGTCGCTGTAGCCCAGCCACCTCAGGGTTTGATGTGTTTTTCATTCTGAGATGAACAGAGGAGACATCTGAGTGACTTCAGTTTAACATGCAGATTTGCAAAACTACTGCTACACCCTGCACATATCACAAACCTGTGGTAAATCTGCATCACTGCCTGAGGGAAGTAGCTATTTGAGCTTGTGATTTCTTTTATAGCTCACAACAAACAGAGCACAATGGTCTGCATTCACTGAGTAGAGTTGTACAAGGACAGGAACATGGAGCTGCTCTGTACATGACTGTCTGGTCTAGGTAACTGACAAGAAAATCAAATGTCTTGTAGGCATCAGGATAGTCATTGTTTTGAGTAGTAGGTCAGATCCACTCTACAAGACGAGGTTTGCTCCTCACTAAAAATTAATATCTTGGCCAGTTTCTTTAGTTTCTTCCTTATTTTTTGTCCCTCTGATATCTCCAGTTTTTATCCTGTAGAATTGAAACATGTGCATGAAATGGATGGCCTGTTTTCATGTATGGAGAAAGTAGAGATGAATCCTGATGTTTGTGTCTGTGCGTAGGTGTCCAGTCTGGAGCAGCAGCTGGAACGAGCGAGGGCCTCTCTGCAGGACGAGGTCAGGAACAGAGAGCAGGATGCCCGGGAGAAAGACAAGAACCTGCAGGAGATGAACCAGCAGAACACCCAACTGTCCGAGTCTGTCACGTAAGAACACCTGCACACTCACACCGGAGAACAGAGGAGACAGAAAATCTGAACTCAGAGCCCATAAAAGTGGGAACTCAAAAAACGTGTCACAGAATGATTTCAATCAGTTGATTTTGTGGCCTTTAAGGGTGTCATCGGTATTAGAATGACATTGTTCAAACTCCTATAAACATCACCAAGCATTTTGAAATTACATTTGTTCTCACTTTTTTAGTAGGTTTTTTGTTGGTGGCACTTAAATGCGTTTTCCAAGCTTGTAGTAATAAGTATAATTCCTGAACTTACAATGTTGTAGCTATTTTATGCTGCTTGTATGAGGCTTTTGTTAATGACTATTTCCGGACTGTTCACTTGTCCTGCAGCAAAGATAATCAAACACCCCCACAGTCTGTGAGACAGTCTTATGATTACACCACATTACATTTGTCTGTAGGCATGAAGCAGCCCTCCCATTCTCCATGATTACGTGTATATAAATGGGGAGCTCACTTCTGGGAAACTGGGAGATTGAAGCCTGATGTGTTTGGAGTAATTTCAGTCTGCAGGGTTGCTGGTTGCCTTCGCTCTTGTGAAGTTGTTGTAGGCTCCATGGGAATAAATGTGCTGTGAAAAGGCATGTTTGTTAAGCTTCATTTAGCTTCTCTGATAGTTTTGGAGGCTCTTGCTTCTCTTGAAGCCGTTGTAAGACTACGATGGGAGCCGTGCTCACATTAAGGTGGGAAACTGGAATGAAATGCATGTGTGTGCATGTTGCACGTTCCCAGCTCGACCCCAGAATGCAGTGTCTGTACCCTGGATCCGTGTGTGCGTGTGTGTGTGTGTGTGTTTTTGTCTGCAGCTAAAACTCCCTTTATATACAAACATGGTTTCTTTGACTGCACTGAATATGGTTGCATGTGATTTTCTCTTTGCAGCCATCTGACATCAGAGATGACAAAGTCTCGAGGGGAGCTGCACCGTCTGAGGAAGGATGTCTCTGTCAGGACGTCTCAGATCACCTGCATGGAGGAGAGCCTGCAACACACGAAGAACCAGCTCGACAGAAAGACTGACATGGGTATGACTTGTTATTTTGTAATCTGCATGAAGCAGGAGGTTTTAATGTCAGTTATTCTCACTTAGATTTATTTTTTTGCAGAGAAGAGACAATTGATACCAGAACGGAACACACTTCGTATTGAATTTCATACTTGCAACTCTTCCCTTGTTTTTGGTCTTATTTATTTTTCGTGTCCTCCTCACCCCTCGCAGTTGTGGATCTGGAGGAGAAGCTCCATCGCTGTGAGGCAGACCAGCTCAACTGTGTCCAGCAGGTGCAGATGCTGGAGGGACAGCTGCAGGTGGTGCGGGAAGAGCTGGCTGATACTCTAGAGCAGCTACAGAAACTCAAGGACATTCTGCAGAGAACACAAACCATCGCAGATGAGCGGCAGGCCTCCGTGGAGAAACTGACTGTCCAACTTAGGTGAGGATACACCCTCGTGTGAAATATTCTTCTGCACACAGAAACAAGGGGACACACCTGAAGAATGGAGAAAATATCCACGTACTCTTGCTCAGATAAGATCCTGTGCTGTATCTGAGTCATCTGTGCTCCAAACAATATCCATATTGTTCATGTGTCTCACAAACACACAACAAAAGACACAAGCAGAGTCTTTGAGCCTGTTATTGTCCCAGTGTCCCTCTTAAAGTCTCACACTTTGGTGACTGTATGACATCCAGATAATGAACTGACAAATCTTTGTCAGATGATATAGTGACATTTGTGTACTTTTTACTGAGGAAATACTTGCTGTTGAAGATGTGATAAAAGAAATTTTGGTTTTCTAATTATTTTTTAAGTTATTTTCCTTATTATCTAAGGTGGAGCCTGTGTAACGTGTCATGTAATTTGTTGTGACTGATTTTTCACATATGCTGTGGTTTTTGTGATGTAATATTTTCTATTTAAAACCGACACTGACAACAAATGACAACTGTGTGCATTTCAATCACATACATTGTGCAGCACGTTGTGTGCACCTATTGTACATCAAAGCACTCAACTGGGCGTACACGTCACGGAATAATTTTCTTGTGTAAAAGAGTAAAGCAAGATTGCTGCATGTTTCAGTTCATTAATCATTAGTCACTCCATCTGTTACTGTTAGATTCTTTTTAGGGTCATTATCCTCCACAGCACAATGAGCATCGTGGGGTTCAGTAATAAGAACATGCAGATGGTTGTTTTGGGAAATGCCCTTTAAAAAAAGGGCAGTTTTAATAACAGCTATCGTGATCTAGGTTGTAGTCATGAGCTGCTTTACACACAAAAGAGTCACTGAGATGAGTTTAAGTCCTCCCATCCACTCATGGATCAGTCTAAAAATGTTCAACAACAAACTCCCGCAGAAAGTCGTCTTCAAACCACATTCCCTGTATTTGGCCCTGCGGGAATAAGACACAGTTACTTCTGCTGTTCAGAAGATACTCGTGTTATTCAGTGTGTTTTTTTTACAAATATCACTGAGACAGATATCTGGTGATTTGTTCATTAAAAGTCAGGAAGGTAGGACATGCAATACGTAGGAGTACAGCCAAAAAGACTGACCTGAACATCCTGCTCTTTGTTGCAAGGCAGGCTCCTGATACTAATTGTGTGTCTCTGTGTGTATGTGTGTGTGTGTCTCTGTGTGTGTCTGTGTATGTGTGTCTGTGTGTGGCTTCACAGTGAGACCCAGAGGGAGCTGGAAGAGAGAACTCACGAGGTCTTAGACATGGACAATGCACTAAAGGAGAGACAAGGGGAGCTCCAACAGAGAGCACAGCTGGTACAACTCACACATAAAACAAACATTTTATATGTATTCCATTTAATTTGAAGATAGTATTTTGTTGCTGTCAATTTTGACTGTTTTTTTGGTTTTCTTGTTCTTTACCTGTTCATCCTGTTGTTCTCAGCTTGGCCAGCTGGACGTGGCGATCAGAGAGCACAAACAGGAGATGGAGAGGAAGGTGGAGTCTCTGCAGCAGAGCCTTGAAACCAGAGAGAGGGAGCTGAGAGACGCACAGAGGGAGCTCACAGACAGAAATATAAAGGTCAGGAGCAGTCACAGAAAAGGAGGGCAAAACATGAGGAAGTGTTTAAATGTCACCAAGACCTTGAATATATATTATTATAGATATTTGTTTGGACTTTTCACTGAATGTTTAGAGAACAGGTAAAAGGAATGGACATGAATGACTGACTGCCTGCAGCAAGATGCACTCAAGATATTGATGTCAGTGATAAGTGTTGTCTGCACTGTACTATGTGTGCAGCTGTAAACTCTACAGTCGAGACGAACCAATGAGGGAAAACATAACAACCAACAAGATAAAATTCTATCATATGTGTTTACACTCTTACAGTTATTATTGCAGTGTGTTATGCTCCAAAATGGCGTATAAAGATTTCTGCTGATAAGGGATAAATAATAACAAAAATGTATTCTATAAAGTTAGAAATTTAAAGAAATGAAAAGTAAAAGTTAAACAACTTTTAATGGCAAAGTCATTCATAAATGCACATGCATTGTAAATTTAAAACCATCTTGTTGCCTTATATCCATTAAAAACCATCTTTCCACAAATGTGCTCACTGCCAACACTCGTCCCGACCACATTGTCTGGGGCCATATTGATAAACTGTCTTGTCTTACCATTAGGAGTCCATTAGGAGTGCTACTCGCAAAGAGTTTTTTTCTTCCCACAACGCTGCTGAGAGCAACGTTTATTGAGGAAGTGAGAGAGCTCCTCAGTAAGGGTGGGGTTGACTCTGCTGCTGTGAATATGTTTCTGATTCTCAATTTAATGTCCACAGTGGATGGTGGACAGATGAGTGGACCAGAGAATGTAATATTAAATACATTTAATTAAAATGAAATTAGTTAAATTTAATTTAGAATAAAATTATTTTAAAAAATAAAATGAATTAATTTAGAAATTAAATTAACGATTTTGCAATTAACATAAACTACTGTAGATTATAAAAAAAATTGAATAAAATTAAATAAAATAATTTAATTAATTATTTTTAAAATTGAATAAAAAAAAGAATAAAGTCCGATTATAAAAGTAATTTTAAATTAATTTGAACTGTCAGAAGTTAAAATATAATAATATATATATATATATCCTGTATATAACCCGTAATCTTAAGTTTTCCTCACTGCCAGTTAGGAGCTACTTGTAGCCGTATAATGTGTTGTCAGTCAGGCCCCTGGTTACTATCAGCTTTAATAACTGAGGAGTAGACAATGAGAAACATTGATCAAACATTGTCAGTTAATCCTTGATGATACAAGGCGTGCACAAATATTTACACATCTTATGTTTGCATTTATTTTGTGATCTATCTTCATAATAACGCATATAATCATCTGGTGTCATGTAATGAGTTAAAAAAAAAAACATTGTGAGGCAACTCGAGATTTTGTTCAGCGTAGATTATAGAATTAATAAATTAATTCAGACACTTAGCTGAAATGAGTTATGTTATAATCATCAAACATTAAGTTGTGTTTGTCGGGGTGTGTGTATATGGGGTTAGGAGTCACAGCAGCTCCACCAACAGCTGCGTGTGTGTCAGCAGAGACTTCAGACTGTGCTACAAGAGCTTGAAGAAACGCAACATCACTGCGAGGCTTTGACCAGAGAGATTGACACCGCCAAGCTGCAGACCAAGGAGACGGTAAAACTGACATACAATTTATTATTATTTAATTACTCATATTGAAACTGTTCAGTGCATAACGTGGTAACGGAAATGAAACTTTGATGATTGTTCGTTCACTTGGTTAGGAATACAGAGGTTGTATCCTGTGCACTCTTCTGAGCAGGGCTGCACAATAATCAAAATATAATTGATATCGCAACATGGCCAAGTGCAATATCCAAATAGCAGGAGCTGCAATTTTTTTGATAAAGTTAAAATGCCTCACAACATTGTTGTGCATTGTTAGCACCATAAGGGTTGTGGTACTATAGCGACGCCCCTGTCCTACAAAACATATTCTCTGTAGGGGAACCTGCTTGTTTGGTACAAGCCCCCCAAAAAAATCACATCATCGTGATTTCTGAAAATATTCAGTGAAAATGAAATACAAAAACGATCGTTCCAACTGAAATCGTGACTCATATCGTGTGTGTGTGTGTGTGTGTGTGTGTGTGTGTGTGTGTGTGTGTGTGTGTGTGTGTGTGTGTGTGTGTGTGTGTGTGTGTGTGTGTGTGTGTGTGTGTGTGTGTGCGCCTCTCCCTCTGCAGGAGGTCCGGCTGTGTGGTGTGGAGGAGGAGCTGGTGCTGAAGGAGGCACACTGGCTGCAGTCGGAGGCCAGGCTGAAGGGCATGGTCACCTCTTTAGAGCAGGAGCTGGAGCTGGAGAAGGAGCAGCACAGCAGGGAGGTACAGTAGTATCAGCTTCCTCTGTTAAATTTAACTGTTATAACATGGACACCTTAACAGTCAAGTTTCAGTTTGGAACAACTGTTAAGATTAGACTTTAAACTCAGTGTTAATTTCGTTGAGGAAAACTAAAACTATGACTAAATATGTTCATCAACAACTTTTATTTTCTATGACTAATACAAGACGATGCTGAGCCGGCACCGATGTCATTAAACACTACCTGTAGCTACATCAACATGCAGTATCATTGACAAAAAAGACGAGACTATAATGTAGTTCAAAAAAATACAAACTTCAGCAAAATTTTTTCTTTTGTCAGCTTTCTGTTTGTCTTTTGATGTAATAAAGGTTTTGTGGGTTTTGGCTCAGCCTCCATGCTCATCACTTTGGTCCTCCCTGTCTCTGTTTCTGTCTGATTTCTTTTCCTCTTTTTTTTTTTTTTTTAATATGTGAGTTCCTTATTCCGTCGATTTTCATTCTTTCTTCTTATCGCTACATTTGCCCCACGCACAACTCATATCATCTTAGTTCCTCCTGATATTTGTGATGGTTTCTGTTTGCTTAGTTCTTTGTCCTGCTGCAGCCTTTGAACTTAACCGGCTACATCAAAGGGAGGAGGATCATCGGCTGGTGCTGCTGTAACCTTGCTCTAATAAAGACAGCTTGTAAAAAAAAAAAAATAAAAACAAATTTGCCTCATCAGTCTGTTTTCCTCCCTCCCCAGCTGGAGTCACTGCAGCAGACTCGAGGTCAGCTCCTCAAAGTCTCTGAGCAGATCTCCTCCACCATGCGCTCCTCCCAAGAGCAACTCACCGCTAAGCTTCAGCAGAGCGAGGCCCAGCTCGAGCAGGCCAAAGTCCTGCTAGACCACACTAAGTCCGAGTTGGATCGCACCCTCAACCAAGCCAGTCGCCTCCGAACACAGTTAGACCAGAGCCGGAGCCAGGTCCTCCAGAGTGAAACCCAGCTGGAGCAAAGCAGGATTCTGTACGAGCAGACCAGAACCCAGAACAGTGACCTCCGTACCCAGCTGGAGCAGCTCAGTGCCCAGTTAAATCAAGCCAGAGTCCAGGCTGCCCAGCTCCAGACTCAGCTGCAGGCCTGTGAGAAGTCCATGGAGACCTCCAATGAGTCCATGCTCATCAAGGTAGAGCCGTTAGAAGGGTGTAACTAAAAATGAAGTAAATTGCTTTTCAATATTTGATCAATGTTTTTGTTCTTGTATCCCTGCAGGAGTCCGAGGTGACCCGTCTTCACGCCAGGATCTCCAGTCTGGAGCGGGCTGCTGACCGCCAGAATCTTTACAATCACACTCTCTCTCTCCCAGCTCCCAACAAGTTCACACACTCCCCACAGCGCTCCTCCTCTGCTCACTCACCTCCCTCCTCGCCCACAAAGCCTCAAACAACCGTCCGCTCTCCCGCACACACTCACTCAAGTCGTCTCCAATCCCCAACATACACACAAGGTTGCTCATCACCCCACGCTTGCACATACCTGCAGCCCGCCTCACTTCCTAACCTATCTGTCAGCCACCAAACTCACGATTGGCTGCAGAGCAGTAGCATCAACTCATCCCTGGATCTCCCTCTAAGCCTGAAGGCAACACTGAGGGAGGCTTTGAGCAAGCAGCCCTGGGAGTCCTCCTCCTCTTCCTCTGTCTCCCCGTTCCCGCATGAAGTGGACCGCAGCTGGCAGGGCCTCAGCGTCATGGAGACCACACCAACCTCTGACCTCTCCTTCAATCCCCTCACATACATGGTGGACAAACAAGATGACGGAAACCCCAACATGGAGGTTACCGTGATACAGGAGGGAGACAAAGGGCAGTTGAGTGAGTCAAGGAGGGAGTCGGTGTGCACTCTGGTGGGTGAGGAGGAGGAGGTGGATATGAGTTCGCTGACAGGTATGCTGAGGTTTGTTAATCAGACTTTAGCCATGCAGGAGGACCGTTCATTATGGAGCTCCACTGGACTATCGCAGAGCGCAGCAGAGCAGCCTCGAACTCCAGGTAAAAACACCACTCCTTTTCTACAACATTGTAATCTGAAACTGAAATGAGTTGTCTGTTAATAAATCACACAATCAACAGGAACAAAACTTCACTGGTTCCCACTTCTCTAATGTGATGATGTGCTGCTTTTCTCTGTTTTTATGCCTGTGCGCCGGCGACAGCCAGGGCCAGAGGCATTATGTTTTCGGGTTGTCCGTCTCTCCTATTATGGTGAACTCAGTATCTCAGTAACGCTTCATATTTGGCACAAACATTCACTTGGACTCAAGGATGAACTGATTAGATTTTAGTGGTCAAAGGTCAAGGTCATTGTGACCTCACAACTTAATATATTTGGGTTTTGGACTTTGGGTTGGACAAGACAGGTTGTTTAAAGACAACACCTTCAGCTCGGCCACATTACCATTTTTCTGACATTTATAGACTAAACTATTAATTAATAATTGGCCGATTAATCAGTAATAACGATAATTGTTACTTTCAAACCTGTAATGATCTTAAAAGTTATAGTCTGAAGTGGCTTTTGAAGTTTGTTCACTGTCACTGAAAACCGATTTGTAAGAGATGCAGTGCCTGAAAGAAATCCTCTGCATTCTTTACAAAGTGATGATATTGTAAAAATATGTGTTTGATATATTTGATAGTGAGAAATGCAAAATTATTTATTTTTATTTTTTTTTTTTTTTTCTTATATTTATTTTTGATGAAAAAAAACAAACAGGAAGCTGCTTTTATATTGATGCTGTTTGTTTTTAGGAGGAAGGTGATTTGATAGATACTATTGTAGTTACCAGTTCAGTCTAAAGCTGCTAAAAAGTTGGTGTCAGATTTTAAGTATTTTTCTAAAATGTTAAACATTCAATGCTTTATGAGCAACAATCAAAGTTATAGTTGAAAAATTATATTAAGTTGTTCATTAGGAAATTAATACTCAAAATTCAGCTAATCTGCTTTATCAGGACTGTGTGGATGTGGTTTTGCTCAGATTTGATTGACTTTTGTTGAGCAATAAAAAAGCCTCACAACTGTCATCACATTTTGATTCAGATGTTACTAAACACTGATTGGTGCACAGAAATACATGACATCATCATTTTCCAACTTAGGCCGACCCACTTTAAACCAGAGTCAAAAGTAAAGAGAAAAACACCAACATTTTCAAGTGCAATAACAACAACAGTTTTAACTGAAGCTGAAAATGTTGTGTTTATGTTGGACCCCGTCACTTACGGTAAGAAGTTGACTGGGAAAAAGACTTAGGGGCCATGCAGAAATCAGTATGGGCCATGTATGATATGCTCAAGGTTTCTTTCAGACATTGTAGTGTTGGTTTGTCACTGATGCATGTTTGTTTTTCCTTTTTAGAGGGACATCAATGACACATGACACTGTGCTGCCTAGGAGATGTCAGAGAGGAGAACAGCTGTTTACAATGTAAACAAAAACTCTGTCCTCATGGTGTGTGTTATTAAAGCTGCAATATTGTCTGTGAGGGAGAAGGTAAATGATCTGTCCAGTTTAGATGACCACTACTGCTCCAGCCTGTAAATACTGTGATGATGTTTCATATATTTTGTAGCATTTGCATTTCATGCTGTATCTTTTCCTAACCAATATTTATATATTTTTACACTATTCTAAATAAGCTAAATGAATAAAATGTTTTTTTTTTAATGTAAGTACTTTGTCTTCTCTTGATTATGTTGTGTCTTGTTTGTCTTCCATTAAGATTTGTACTTGTTCTCCAGAGAAACGTGAAGCCCTGCTCTCATTAACATCTGTTTAGATGTTCCCATGCTGTTGGGGACTGTGGGGTCGTATTTCCAGAACAACTGGCAGCTTCCAGTCCTGGAGAGGAATTTTTGGATCAGGACCGTGGAGGAGGTCACTGAATCTAATACATACTCCAGATGGTTAAATTGGATTTGACATTGGCATGTGGTTATATAACAAGAACATCAGAAATGATTTGTCTGTGGATAGTTTTAGGATGAGTTTTACTCCTTTGGGTTCTTTTTATTCTTCAGATTAAATGCTAGTACAACTATCTGTATGATTTAACAGAGTTATATAGATGTAAGAGAGTAATTCTTCATAACAATGAGTACTGTATGTGTAACACTGTTTTATGGCTAATTCTTATTGCTAAAGCTATGTGTACTTGCACAAAGACAAATGTTTTTAACAGTAATGGATTACTAAGGGGCTGAAGACAGCAGGACCCCAAAGCCAGAGCCTCAGTTAGAAATATGTTATTAGCATTTCTCTTAGGAAAGTCGAAGGCAGTCAGTCAAAAGTAGTGACGTCCCGATCCTGTTTTATCTCCTGATCCAAGTCTCCGTCCTTTAAACATTTTCAGTAGTGCGCTTATTTGCTTTCTTTGCTCCTTCTTGTGAAGCTACAGCCAAGAGAGAGTTAGCTTAGCTTAGCATAAAAACTAGAAATCGCAAACACTTAGCCTAGCTCTGTCAAGAAGTAACAAAATCTGCCCACTAGCAATTTTTAAAGTGGTCTGCTGGTGCATGGCTGACTTCATGACCAGATCACTACACCTGGCAAAGAAATAGTCCCGTATGTGACCCCCCTTAAACTAAGATACATAATGTGTTGAATTGTGACCTTTTAAATGTGCTGGTAGTTTTTCACAGTGTTTACAGTCTTTATGCTAAACTAAGCTAAGCTAACAGCTGGTTTCAGTTTATATAACCTGCTTTTTTTTTTTTTTAACGTAGAGTACTTTTATGCCTCCATGCCTGTTGTCTCATAGTCAGTCTGTGCTCCCTCAGGATTAGAGCCTGCAGCATTACTGACATTAGATATAATAGTAGCAAATTAACAAATGCAATGGTTACTTATTTCAATCACTCGTCCAGATCTGAAGTTTAATCACTTGTCGCAGGTCATACAAAGCGTTTGGTTTGGCACGCAGACAACCAAGAGGCTGCCTGACACAGTGAGTGATGTCCTGCCCACGTACGAGTGGGCTGTGCATATTTACATTTTCTCACCACTAGCCATTACAATAGTTTTGTCTTTGTGTGTGTGTGTGTGTGTGTGTGTGTGTGCGTGTGTGTGTGTGTGTGTGTGTGTGTGTGCGTGTGTGTGTGTGTGTGTGTGTGTGTGTGCGTGTGTGTGTGTGTGTGTGTGTGTGTGTGAGAGAGACAGACGGTTTATGTGTGTGTTTGTTGCTACTGGAGACAAAGCCTGTCATGTCTGTCAACAAAACCAACCTGCCTGTCCTGCACCACAGCACACAGGCCTCCCACCCCCGATTACACATGTAGCCAGGGGTGGGAAGGTGTTAGACATGATCCTAAAACCCCTTCTATATTTCTGTTCTCTTTTATTTTTGCTGAGTTTTTCGAGAACACTTTTTTATCATAAAGGATGTGGTTCAGACAGTGGTGAACTGCATGCTATGTATCTGTGCTCTAGTTCCTCCATGGAACTTCCTTAGCACAGTATGTGTCCACTGCAGTATATGTTTGAAATCTTAAGCAAACAAAAAGCAGTCCTCACCGTTGTGTGGAAGCAGTTGATGAGATTTCACACAGAACCTAAAGTACAATGTATAATTCAGCTAAAAAGAGGTCCACATTGACCAGCTTAAGACATTGAAATGTTACTTTAATGCTTCTATAATAATTATCAATAATGTATATTATTAATTTAATTATTGTTAAATTTTATTGTAATTTATATCTAGATTTATGTGGATATAAACCAGCGCAGTACATAAAAATATATCTGAATTCTGAACTTTAAATTGGTGCGTTTTTTGTTGGAAAAAAAAAACACCACAAGATGTTTCTTTGCTGTCAGAAAAACTGACTGAAAAACACCGTGTTCTGCCAGAGAGGTACAGTAACTCTTCATCTGAGCAAGAGCTACAGGTTAAAACAACAACAACAACAAAAACAACAGCGACAACAAAAACATTTGAGCTTAGCATTAAGACTGTGGTCAATGACATCGAGACTGCAGTACAATCCAGGACCGTAGCTCCAACTAGTTTCCTGTCATCCACATATATTAACCATTGATCAGTCATGTGTACTAATGCAGTGCTAGTAGAATGCCCTGTTTTTTTTTTTGTGTGTGTTTGTGATAGATGGTTTTTATATATATGTGCGTGTGTGTGTGTGTGTGTGTGTGTGTGTGTGTGTGTGTGTGTGTGTGTTCGTTGCCAGTGGAAACAAAGCCTGCAGTCATTTTTGTCAGCAAACCAACCTGCCTGACTTGCACTCACAGTACACAGGCCTCCAGCCTCAGATCACAGATGTAGCCAGGGGTTGGACACATAAAATGAGGACATTTACTTGTAATTGAATGATATAACACAGTGATATTTGTACTTTTTTTAAGCAAAGGATCTGAAAAAACCTTCTTCCAACACTAAAGACACAAAAGCTTATTTAGAAAATTAAACCGCGTGATGCAGTTTGACCGTGGAAGTTGCATGCATGTTTTGCACAAAATAAAGTAGGCACAGGAGAACAGTTGCAAAGCTAGAAACTACCAGGCATGCTTGCCAGGGTTAAAACAGTCAACCACACTCGTGCACACATACACGCGAGCGCTATAGGGGGGGGTAGGGTCTGGCACACGAGTTAACCACAGCCGCCAAAGCTGAGGCTATCAGTGTTTACTGAGTAAAACACACGGCTGATGTACCATACAATAAAGTAATAATGCTATAATTAATGCAGCAAGATCCTTGTTTGCTCATTGTACACAGATCTATTTTACTGTGTCTTTTATTCTGGTTTTATCCTGTTTATTTTATTTTTTACTTAATTTTTTCCCCTTGTATTTAAGTGTTTATGGAAATTTGTTTCTTTGATGTTAACTACATTCCCTTGTGCTGCTGTGTCAAATCTAATTTCCCCTATGGGAGGTCAATAAAGGTACATCTCAGCCACAACTATATTCATAACATCAGGACGTTGGCTCTGTGGTTTGTGCTGCTTTGGTTAGTTAATGCGACAGTACTATCAAATTGAGTCACACCAGATTCAGACATGACAAATGTTTTTGTTCCCTGTTTAATTTGGTGCATCACTACTGACCAGCTAAACTGAAAGCATAGACACTCGTGCCCCATCTACTGTAATTTCCGAAATGTGATCTGTTTAGATGTATTTATCCACAGTGTCAAACTGATGGACAATATAGGTTATCTGCATCCATGCCCTTCCTTCATAGCACTGAAAGTGACAAATGCCATTCTATTCCAGTCACGTAGGAGCTGTGCAATCCTTATCTGACTGCCCACACACCCAGGAAGATTCCCTGGAAAAATCTGTACTCGGCATGATTCTCCACAATGCAGAGGCCCACTCCTCCTGGAGAGATGACGCTGAGATCTGCAGTATCCAAAGCACAGATTGGTCAAACTGTCCTTCGGCTGAGTTTTCATGGACTTCATGTAGCGGGCGAGTCGGCCCAGTGTTGTTTCACCAGAGGGACTGGTGTGGTTTGACTCAGCACGATGGAAAACAACCATTAATGGTTGACATTGTCGAAAGGTCATTGTTATCTCCCACTCCAGTACTCCACAATCACCAAGCTGCAGCTCACTGGTTCTGACCTTTCTCTCATTAAACTGAACCTTTATACTGAAAGGGTGGGAGTAGGTCTCCTAGTTACCATTTTTATGACAAGTGAATGTTAGAGACATTTGCTTCTGTGCCTGGAGCAGGTTTGTTTAGAATGACGCTTGTCGTCAGTCCTCAGTCAACCCCATAGTTCCTGCTCAGTGTCATGTGACTTTCTTGACCCCTGTGTCTAAACCAGTTATCATGTCTTTACTGTGGACACTTTCTGAAACAAGTAGCAAGATAAGAGGGAGGGTGGGCAAACCTGCCCTGTCTGACTGCCATAAAAAAGGCTTGACATCGTTTGAAATGTCTGATGATATTACTAATTACCATTACTGATACCAAAATTATACAAAAAAACGTAAACAAGATCTGAATCTGACCAGATGTTCAATGTCAGCTTTTGGTACTTGACTTGTTCTTGATACTTGGTACTACGAACACATCTGGGTTGATATAGATTTGGTACATGGCCCTAGTTTTTCACTGACTCAATTCTTGAAATCTCAAATACGTCAGTCACTGTGCTGCTCCAAGTTTTACAAAAATCGATCATTTGTCTTATATTTATTCTTTGATAGGAAAATATATGCTATATATGGTTATACGTATATACGCCCTCTCTTGCTAGCCATTAGATTGAGAGATTGATACCACCCTTATGTCTGTTCTGGAGATATGAAGTGACTGTCAGCAGGCGGTTAGCTTGGCACAAAGACGGGAAACAGTTAGCCTGGCTCTGTAAGAAAGCAGCAAAATCTGCCTACCTCGGCTCTAAAATAAAGCTAAAGCTAACTCATTAACATGTCATATCTCATTTGTTTAATACACACAAAAACTGGTGCAAAAACAAAGCATTGTGGTTTTACAGGATGTTATGTGCCGGAGAATTTTCTTGGACGGGTGCGGTGACTTCCTGAGTTGGGCTAGTTCCCCCTTGCTTCCAGTTTTTATGCAAAGATAATCTAACTAGTAGCTGGCTCCAGCTTCAAGGAGAACTCCAATTTTATACATCAAAGCCTGTTTTCAGGTGCCAGCACTGAGGGTATTGTAGGGACTGGGTTTTGACAAAGAAGAAGAATGCATAGAATAAGTAGATATCCACTTTTCTACTCCATTGGGATTTTGACAACATTAGAGAGATGAGATGCTAAACCGGTGGAGTAGGCTTCTCTTTTCATGCTGAATCATGAGAGTTGTGTCAAACTCTTGGGTAAAGAATGTCAAACTATCCCTTTAAGTTTGTTATGATGTTTTTACATCCATGCTACAAAAGCACTTGGTGCAAGTATAACATTTTATTTGGTAATTTATGTTTTACTTTGTGTCCTGATGTTTCACTGAAAAACTGGTGGTACATTTCTGCTTCATTTTCCTCAGTGAACCTAACGGCTCTGCATCACCTCTCACAGTGTAATGCCTCTGATGATGAGAGTCTAATCCATTTTGGGTTGGTTGTATTGTCACTGAGGATGTGCACCAGTCAGCTGTCAGTGTGTGGCACAATGGGCCCGTGGCAGCCAGCCATTCAGCCTGCATGTCACATCCTGTTTGACGATTGGTCTCATCCGACCCCCCGGTTTGGCACCAGTGTCGTCCCACTACCCACAGATAAACAGATGAATTCAGAGCGATGCAGCACCGATACATGCGAAGGAACAGCATCAAAATTAGGTCTGTTTTATAAAAGATAAAAATATTTACATGCAGAAATCAATGAAGGAAAGTTAAGTGGATAAATTATGGCACTAATATCAGATTTTCACTTCAGATTATCGTGGCCAAAAGAGTTTACGATAATGATATTATTGTGATTTGGGAAATAAAAAATGCTACCGGTCAAATTGATCTTTAACTTTGTTAATTGTGTGTTTTGTCTCTTTTTTGGCAGATGAATTAGACTCAAATATGAGTGTAGGGAGGTGGAGAGAGAGTCACTAACCATAACTGATCAAAATCATACAAAAACAACGATTACAATAATGGATAGTGAAAATGCAACCAGAGGAACTCATAAACAAAAGACCCACACAGCCTAACATCTACCATCACGATATTATCATACGTGTATTATTCACAGGATATCAGTATTTCATTTTTCAAATAATCAATAATACTGGTGTGTCGCGACACCCCCAACAAAGCCAATTAGGTTTTTAAAATGTCAGCAACAAGATTTGAAGAATACAATTATCAAATCCCAGAAGCCAGAGAGACTTAGTGTAACAGATGTTTCCTCTTTTCACTGATCCCCTGAGCTTCCAGTCAGACCTGATTTGAATATTTGGGTTACTGTGCTATACAAACACAACATCAGATAAGTTAAGAAATGTCACATGTATTTTTGTGTTGTGATGTGTGATGACCAGCTGTTGATGTATTTATATTTAAGTCTAAACAGCGGGCCAGTTATACCGATGTCTACAAGCTGCTCCGTTTGTCCTGCCTGTTGATATTAACTTTAGTGAGGTTTTTTTTTTTTTTTTTAAGAGTTGTGTTGCAAGACAGTCACGATGAAACAGCCTTTGAGAACAATTTATCATCTCAACTCACTTCCACTTTACACTGTGGAATGTACAAAAGCTTTACTCTACATCAGCAGCAAAGTCGCTCCCTTTTTGTGGTTACATATCATAATGTCACATAGTTTGTCCACCAGATTAAAGCAGAAGTGTGCAACATTTTATCTGAAATTCAGTAATTATCTTTATACCAATTCTCAGAGGAAGAGCTATTTATCTCCCCTGAGCTGAATTCTCATGAAGTGAGTCATCTGTGAACAAAGCGGACTGTATTTTGTTAGAAAATTCACTTACAGCTGGACCATTTTTGACTTAAGTGCATTTAATGTCCTGCTGTGGCATCAGGCGATGACTCTATGTTGAAGCTCCTGTCTGTATATGGTTTGGTTCTGCAGGATGTAGGCTATACACAAGATCACAGTCTTTATGTGTGTAACATTTATGGCTAAACGGCCACTCATCGCAGCAGAGGCGAGGGTTCTGTCCATGTGTAAATAAACACGCTGTCTGCAGAAAAAGACAGAGTACAGTAGCAGTAGGTAGAGGCTGGCTGTGTCCTGTGTGAGCATGCCTTCTGGTTTGAACTGGGACTGGCTGTGTTGAATGAGCTGTGCAGACTGTTATTAAAGAGCAGAGCTGGAGTAAGTAACGTGTTTTGTGTGTGTAATGAGTTAGTCCTAGTCTAAGTCAAAGTGTTGCATCCTCTCTTAGTGGCGTTTGTGGTGTCTAATGTCTGCAGAAGTGGCTTTTGACACTGGAGGGGTTTTCAAGAAAACCCTGAAATCTCTTTAAAACTGAAACTAGAGAAATCACTTTTCTATGTAACTAGTAACATGTGCTCCCTACTTCCATTTAAATCCTGTTGGTGCTACATTCCAGGAAATTAAAGGGAGGGAGCCACCTTTTCCTTGCTGTCATTTCTTTCAGTCGCAGTTTTCCTTTAAGCCAAAGACAAACAGACGAACTGTTGATTTAACTGCTACTTCGTGAACCATGACTTGATAAACTTTGTCCCTCCCCTCTCTGAACACTTTATAATCTGCACTGCAAATAAGAAGGAGCGGAGTCATGTTCACAGACACTGAAAAAGAAAACTGTTTAAAACCACTTGAGTCTCTGAATCGTTGCAACACAGTTTGAACGCATGTACTTAGATAAATGCTCTGTGGCTGCACACAGGCTGACAGGCGCATCTCCATCTTTGCGGCTCGTGTCCACCAATCACTGCTCCCTCACAGAGACCCACGGACAGCCTGAACACTCCCTCCTCCTTCTGCTCCCCCTCCTCCTCCTCCTTCTGTTCATCTACACATTAAAACATACAAAACGCTCCATACCCGGCTCACTTCCACATCTACAGACTCCATCAGCGGTCCTGCTCCTCTCTCTCCTGTGTGGTTCATCTCCCAAACTGTGAGTTCACCTCTTCCAAACAACATGCATCCTCCTTTATGTGACTTTCCGGGCTTTGATATATCTGACAGAGCTTTAAAATCGTGCAGGATTTCTTACATCGACGCTGCACAGTTCGTGCTGTTCCTGTTACCTGAGTAGATGTGTTGTTGGGGATTTTGTGGCCAGTTTAAGGACACGGTTGTAAAGTTTGAAGTGATTTCATTTCCAGATGTGGAGAGTCTCCGTACATTTCGCTTCTTCTTTTGAGTCGCTGAGCTTCTCTGCAGCCAATGAATGGACGGAAAACAGAACTACACGGCTGGACGTTTAGGTTTATTATAGGAACAAACTGCATTGTTTGTTATGTAGGGCTATGGGAGAAATACTCTTCTACTTTGATAATGAAACGGAGCGTAAAAAACTAGTGTAGTGTAGGAAGTAGTAGTTTGGATGTTATGTAATAATCAAAAAAAAAAAAAAAAAAAGAAAAGAAAAGAAAAAAGAGATCGGTCTGCCCAGAGAATAAATGTAGGCTTAACTTCATATGGAAATAACAGGAATGGATCCTGGATTCTGTTCTGCTTGTTTTTATCTAAGTCTCCAGTCTGATCAGTCAGCAGAAGAAGAAGAAGCAGCAGCAGAAATCCCTTCATTAGAGATGCTCTTCTCAACACGCATCTCTGCACTGATCCCCGTAGACTCGCAGTATTATGTTCAGTATTATGTCACATCAGTGTTATTACCAGTTCAGCTGGTTCCAGACATTAATGGCCACAAGTGGTCTTAAGTAGTTTGTCCATGATGCAGCATTTATTGATTGGCCTGTTACAGGAAGTCAACTGGGTATTTCTCTCTGCACTGAAACATGAGCAACATTTAACCCCCAGCTGAACAAACTCCACAGTAATGATAATAGTATTCCATCAGATGGTGGTGATGATTGTTTGTTTTATCTCTGCTTGGTGTGTCAGCTATGATCTAACCCTTTAATATCTAACTATAAATAATAATATGTCATGCACAAATAAGCAGGTGTAGGGTATAGTTACAGTATGTGGATCATAGGGTAAAGTATATGGAGTGCAAGCTCTTGTGTGTTACAGTGGTGAGGAAGTGGACATTGTCTGGGTTGTGTGATCACAGTCGACGTCAGCCTCACTGCAGCAATAATCCTGCTGCCGCCCGTCTTGTAATCTGGCTCTTGTGTAATCAGGGCAAACAGTAATCTGTATAATCTTGCAGCCTTGGTGGGGTAAAGATTCACTACTCTCATCACAATGTAAAGTTTTTGAAGCAAACTTTGTGTTTCTCCGAATGTGAGGTTTTGTGATGTTAAAGAATTAAACTGTGCAGCAGTTTGTTCAAGGGGTTCATTTATTGAAGCAATCTGCTCATAAACTAGTTGTTCAGTAACATCAAGTTTTGTTTTCACTTCATATCAACCATAACAGTGTGTGAGTGAAAGTTGGATCATGCATACTGTGCTTTACTCCACCAGTTTATGTGAAAACTTAAATATGTCCCTACACCAGCTGTCAGCGGGCTGCAATAAGTGTCAGATATGATTATTGTAAAGGAATCACCACAGTGGTTGGTGCATGTGAACAATCTACAGATGTGACAGCTGCAGTGGATGAGTAATTAGTGGTTCAAAGAACTAGTTTGTCTGGTTTGGACTATACCCTGAATGCCTATATATGGCAGGAGGTAAATATGTTTGCCTCTTGTCAAGATAACACCTATTATTAACCACTGGGTTAGTTTGTCTCAGCTGTTACCCACAACGCTATAAAAACTTTAGCTATTCAGGAAAGACGTCACCATTGATACCACAAAATAACTTCCTCATATACGTTGCCGCATCTCTCTGGCCTCCTTTGTGTCCTAGGCTTGGGTTAAGCTTTAAAACTTAAAAACCCCTCCCTGTCTCCCGCTGACCCCCTCGTGTTTATAAGCATCTCCATATTTCTTACCCTCCCTCTCACAGCCTGTCATCTCCTCCTCTCTCTCAGAGCCATCATGGTTTCCCATAAAGAGTTTGTGGGTGCGGGGAAGGAGCCGGGGCTGCAGGTGTGGCGTATCGAGAACATGGACCTGAAGCCGGTTCCCAAGTCCCTGCACGGCAGCTTTTACACCGGGGATGCATACCTGCTGCTCTTCACCACCGCAGCACCTTCGTACAACATTCACATGTGGCTGGGTAAGACATGGACACACACTTCAGTGTCTTGCAGTAACATGGCAGACTGCTCAACACTCTCTTAGCAACTTAGGATTCAAAGTATTATTACTTGCTCTTTATCGGGTGTGGTCTGATTTACCTGATGAAAAGTATGTTTTCATCACTGTTTTCAAAACAGGAACCGGTCTTGCATTTCATTTTTAACAACACATTTGGGAGCGGAAGCTATTTCACAGCAGGATGTTCCCCAAATACTATTGCTCGTCTTTTTTCCTGTTGTTTTGTCATTTTATTGTCAGGTTTATTGCTTTACAATCATCATTTTATGGTTTCACCACTTGTTTTATGTAGTAGAGAGGTTTCTGTTTAGTTTATGTTATATGTGAGCTGACCAAAGAAAATCCCTCTTATTTAATTGCTCATAAGATATTGGCTGCTGAAGTGGGTAAAAGTACAGTATTGGGCTCAGCCCCTTACTGAAGTTACAGTTACGAACTAAAGTGAAACAGTTCCTTCCTCCAAAGTTGATACACATACAGTGCATGCACATACGTGGCACAAGTTTAAACAGTCATGCATTTTGATACTTAGACCCATATACACACACACTAAGACTAGAGAGTAAGTGAAACTTCCTGAGGTTTTTGAAGTTAAAGCTGATCAGATTATGCATGTGATCTCAGTGCTTAAACATCCTCTGCTGTATGAGTCGGTGAATTCTTTCTTCTCTAAAAGTCATACTAGTTTGTGAAATTCCTCTCCTCGCGCGTCCCGCAGGTCAGGCCTCAACAGAGCACGCTGTGACATACAACTTTAACTACGTGAAATCCTAAATTTAAGGCAAAATCTTTTTTCTCATGCTCCTTAAATTTTCAGTTACATAACAAAATCAGAGGCCTGAACTAAACCGCTGCATGACTCACACATAGAATACCTCTGCAGGCCACAAGCAACAGGCACTGGTCCCTGCATGTTTGTGCTGTTCCCTGCCAGTTCTCTTCCTGTGCCAGCACACAGACACACAGGCCTTTTAGTTCCCAGTGCAACCATCTGGAAGATGTTAGACTAGAAATAACATGCGAGCATAATTAATCCCTCTGTCTGGGATTGATGTTAGTCATGTGAAATTATGAAATAGTTTTATCCATGTTGTGTGCCATCTGACAGTAATAGCAGGATACAGAGCGGCTCTGCTGCAGATGTGGTTGATGTGATTCAATGACTCCGGTCCTGACTCAAAGGTCCCTTAAGGTCACGGCAGAAACTAAAGTGCTGCAGTTTGCTCTGCTAAATCAAAGAAATTAATGCATTTGAGAGAAACTTGATCCTCGGGCATCAATGTGAAACACTTAAAGGATTTAATAGAAAAACAGCTACTTGAATACAGATATCTCGTCTCTGCAGGGGACGAGTGTTCACAGGATGAGAGTGGATCAGCGGCCATCTTTGCCACACAGCTGGATGACTTCCTGGGTGGTGGACCAGTGCAGTACAGGGAGGTGCAGAACCATGAATCCAACACCTTTCTGGGGTACTTCAGGTCAGGCATCAAGTATCAGGTGAGTTTCATTGTATAGCAGAGACAGCTTTGCAATAATGGTGTACTTTGGTTACTACTTTGGTTAATGACTAAATAATAATAACATGCACATCAGCCTCGACTGTGCTTTGTATTTAGGGCCTATTAGCTGAAATTAGCATGCTAACCTGCCAAACTAAGATAGTGAGCATACTTAACATTATCGCCACAACATGAGCATGTTAGCATTCACTGTGAGCGTTGCTGCGTCGAGCGTCACCCTTTTAATTGAAGCCGTGCTGTGCCTTATTACAACTATACAGAGCCGCTAGCAGCAGGCTGTAGACTCTTAGTCTGCTTTCTTTTGAAACAGTGTACAGTTTCATGTCTCTGTGCCTCAAACAATTATTCAAATGAAAATGTTTGAGAAGGGAAAATCACTCTTTAAAAGAATAGATTATATAGATAGATCTAGATTAATGACTGCATAGATAAGGAACAACCCATTACATTAGCAAATATAAAGTTAGCAATGGAAATGTTATATTTCTTAAAGCATTAACAGTGATGACTAAAAACAGATGGGACAAGAATCTGTCTCTGAAACTTTCTTTGACCTAAATATATCAGCAGAGTTTAATGATTGTCAGAATCCCGTGAACTTTGCCATGCAGTTAATCTGATGAGTCTGAAGTTCAGAGGAGACACAACATTCCCTTTTTGCTATTTACATCCCAGGGTGTGTCTGGCTTTGACTGACTGAGACTGTAACCAAGTCGACCAGCCTGCGCAAAGGAAGACATTTGAAAAGACACAAGCTAAGCCACTTTTACCAGGCGTCTGTTTCTCATTTCCATGCATACCATTCAAACCCCCTCCTGGCTTTAGTTGGGTGTAATTAACCCAGACTTGTTTACTACTTTTGCAAAGTTGTAGGGTGGAAACTCTTCTTTGCACATGTGCAGATACACAGTACACACACACACACACACACACACACACACACACACACACACACACACACACACACAGGCTCACACAGTGATCTTCAGAGGAACAGTGAGGAACAGAACTAAACCTCATTATCTCTTCATAGTTTTGGTAACTCCGCTTTTGGGGAAAAAGTCCTTCCATTAGAATAAACAGTGCCTGCATTGTTGCCATGGAAAGTTTTACTGCCTCTCTCTTGAGAAAGGCACAAAAACGAGATGAATGTGGTCTCCATTTTGAGGTCTAGATAGCCACTCCCCAGGATGCTAACAAGACTATGTGGGTAAAAGCTAAAGCTTCAAAGGCCATTATAAGAAATAGGAAGCCCCCTCTTGGTTTTTTTCTCATGACCTTAGAGGGGTTTATTTGCTTTAGTTTTCTACATGTTGAATACTCAGCAAACATCATCTATCAAACTTTTGTCCAGCACAAAGTGTGTCTGTTGCTCATTTGCAGTATTTAATTTGCATGTCTTGTAAATACCTGTTTTGTTTAATGGCTTCACAAAGGACGGCACATTACGAGACAATCCAGCCTCCCAGGTACATGATCCTCCTTCTGTCCAGAGGCAGGCATCATGTTAGTTTCATTTCATCCATTTGATAAGGTTTATTGGCTGCGTAGCTGTGATTTATTGTAAGCTTATCTCATTATTTGGCAGTAGAATATAGAGCCTTTTGTCCTTTGAGGTTTTACGGTATTGTGTAAAACTCATTTCACCCTCACCATGCAGCAAGCTCTGCATCTCATGAAATCATCTGACTCCATGCATCAAGTTTCAAACCTCTCAGTATTGTATTTGTGACTGTTGAGAACTAAAACTGTGCACATGATGTAGTGACTTTTTCTTCCCTGAACTGTGCTCATGTACACACTTTAAATGAAGCTGGGACTTCCAGTTTTCATCACCTGAATTATTATTATTTGTTTCAGAAAGGGGGTGTGGCCTCAGGTTTTCAGCATGTGGTGACCAATGACATGAACGTGAAGCGCCTGCTGCACGTCAAGGGTCGGAGGGCCATCAGAGCAACAGAAGTGGACCTGTCCTGGGGCAGCTTCAACAAGGGCGACTGCTTTATTATTGACCTGGGAAAGGTGAGATCTGTTATTTAATGTGTGTTGGTGAGTGTGTGTTTCTGTCTGGGTGACTATTCCGTGTCCCGTACATCGCTAACACACAACATATGTCAAAGCTCATGTGCTCCAGCAATACTGTTTGTAATTTCACCTCGCGGTTGCACATGTGATGGACAGAGGACAAGTAATGAGTTTCTTCTTTCTTAAAAAGGCAGAATTTGTTTGGCTGCACTGTAAACCGTGACCGTTGCTATCTAGTTGACAAAATGGCTGTCCTTGAGTGTTTGCTGCCCCTGAATTCTGAGACTTGATGTATTAAACCTTAGTTGCTGTTACCACCATAAACCAGTGTTTGTCACCAAATCATCCTGGAATTAAATCTTTAATATCTCTTTCCTGTCCTTTCCGCTCCTGCAGGACGTCTATCAGTGGTGTGGCAGTGAGTGTAACCGGTTCGAGAGGCTGAAGGCCTCTGAGGTCTCCATCGACATCAGAGATAATGAGAGAAACGGCAGAGCCAAACTGCACATGGTGGAGGAGGGGGAAGAGCCAGCAGCAGTCATAGAGGTGATACGCAATCACATACACATTCCTGGTTTTCTCTCCGTCTCCTGATGAATATCCACTCACTGAGGTTTACAGCCTACAGGTGGTCGCTTGTGAGCAGAATCTATAAGTGCATTTAATGGCCAGCGAGTTGGTCAGCGTGGGAATAAGTGGTCACAATGCTGTCCTTTGTAACGTGCTGTGTATGTGCCAACTCTGTGCCAACTAAGGCCGCATTGTAAACACTTTCTTTACAACAAGAGAGGGGGGTGAACTCCAGAGAGGCTTAATGAGGAGAGAGAGGAAGGAAAGGGGCTTTATAGAGCATGTTTTATATTCATCAGCATTCATTTTTAATCTGATAAAAGCTGTAAAATATAGTCTACAAAACGAACCACCATCAAGACTGCTGGCTGCTTTATCTGTGAATGAAAACACATAATGATAATTTGAAGCATAAGTGATAATTATGGCAAAAAGATGAACACAATAATTAACTCCTCTGGCTGTTGTATAGGCTCTGGGTCCTAAATCCGCCATTGCCCCCAGTACTCCTGATGATGACAAGGTGGACACCTCCAACAGGAAGAAGGGTGCCCTCTACATGGTGAGTAACACAAGTGCTGAATTTGTAATTCATATAAAAGATTGTGCTGCATTCTTGTAGTTCTGGTTTAAATTTGAAGACCAAAACTTTAATAAAAAAGCCGGGACAAAGGTCTCAAGAACTGTAAACATATTGTAAAAATATTTCAATTATCTGTCAATTTATGATAATATAATTTTCCGGGTAAAAAAATCACAGGATTTATAAGTGCATACAATAAAGAAAACAGCATGTTTTCACACACTGGGAGTCATTGTATGTAGCTCATTTTACTTAATCTATACCACCACATCCAAAATGCATTTACTGTATAAATGAATTAAAAATGAGTCTTTCAGACCCGAGCTGGTAGCTGATGCTGTTCCTCTGCTTTGTAGATCTCTGATGCATCTGGTTCGATGAAGGTGTCAGCTGTGGCTCCATCCAGTCCCTTCAAACAGGCCATGTTGTCTCCTGAGGAGTGCTACATCCTGGACAACGGGGTGGACAGGAACATCTTTGTATGGAAAGGTGCCGACAACATCAGAGACTACATAACACACCAGAAAATAGTTTTGAACGAACTCAGAACACTAGCTTTTAGTTTTCTCCCCGTCTCCTCACAGCTATTTCTTCTCCACAAATTAGTAAGAATTTATGTGGAAAATGTGTGTCCACAAGTAGTTGTGCCTCCAAGCTAAACACATGAAAAACAGCTGTTCTGTCCCTGACTCACCCTGATATTTTAAAATTCTGGCTGCGATACCATCGCATTCACTTATACACAATTTACTTTCAGTAATGTTGAGCTAAAATGAAATCTACAATAATTCTTGTCAAGGTTGAGACCAGTCCGGAAAGTTTTTGAGCCCCCTGGAGGTGTCATATGATATATTCGGTGAAGCATCTACAGTTAATAATGCCACTATAAACCTGCCCAGACAAACCCCTTTTAATATTTAATATTTATAAGCTAGTTTATGACATAGGTTCTCTCTCAAGTCAGATCACATACATTTTTTGAGAATTATGGCCTTTTCACCATGTCCTCCTCGTTTGGCTTCAACCAGGTCCCAAGGCCAACATGTCAGAGCGTAAAGCAGCCATGTCCGCAGGTCAGCAGTTCATCAAAGACAAGGGATACTCCAACAAGACACAGGTAAAGCTGACATGTACTTAATAACGCTATCAGAAAAAGGTTACAGCAACTTTACACTCAGAGGACGGCAAAAATATTATGGCAAAAAATATCACACATGTAATTCCATGTCACACTTAAAGAAGTTCATCAAGCTAAAATCCCTGTTTCCCTTGTAGATCCAGGTTCTTCCTGCAGGAGCCGAGACGACTCTGTTCAAGCAGTTCTTCAGCGACTGGAGGGACAAGGACGAGACTACAGGCCCCAGCAAAGCCTTCACCATCGGCCGCATAGCCAAAGTGGAACAGGTGCCATTCGATGCCTCCACCCTGCACTCAAACAAAGTCATGGCAGCTCAGCACGGCATGGTGGATGATGGCAAGGGCAAAGTCCAGGTATGAGTGTGTTAAAAAAAAAAAAAGGGGGAAACATGGCATGGGCAAAACAGTGTTGTGGTGGTGAGTTGTGTAAAATGGTTGTAGTCTTGCTTTAAGATCTGGCGAGTGGAGAACGGTAAAGATGTGCCCGTGGATCCCTCCTCCTATGGTCACTTCTATGGTGGAGACTGTTACCTCATCCTCTACAGCTACAGACAGGGAGGCCGGGAGCAACACATCATATACACCTGGTGGGTCAGAAGAAATATTTATACAAACATGTGTGTCTAATACAGTATGAGTTACAAGCTGTAGAGGAGTGTGCGTGCGAATTACCCAACCACACCCAGTCTTGCACCAGTAAATGACCTGCTCCCAGGAAAATCATCCAGACTGTGTGTGTGTGTGTTACTGTGTCAGGCAGGGGCTGAAGTGCACACAGGATGAACTGGCAGCCTCAGCATTCCTCACAGTGAAGCTGGATGACTCAATGGGAGGATCCCCAGTTCAGGTTAGCGCTTGACGCCGACACACTGCTCACCTTTTCATCATGTGAAAAAACAAGTCTCTTCAGTCCCTTAATAATCTGCAATATTAAAGCAGATAATTTAGTGTTAGAAGTAATTACGTTAAGCTCTCTTCCTAGAAGCTGATAAGAAAAGACAAAGTCACAGTTGCCTGAGTTCTCTAAATGTGTGCAGGGGATTTTGGGAAATTGGGCAAGAAGTTGCAGTTTAAGTGTCAAAATTGAGAACTAACCTGAAACTTTTGTTATAACATGTAATGTCGTAACCTCACTCTTCTGCTATGAAAAACAAACAACCCTGGACGACCAGCAGAGGGCAGTGTTACTGTAATTTTTGTTGTGATTCAATGCAACTCAAACTGCAGCACTTCCGCACTTACCACATAGTGTCAACATCTTCGTGGCAATATTAGAGTTGACCAACAAATGATCATCGCCCACTGAAGATCTCACAGCTGGATGAGTAACTTAAGGAGGCGCTTATCCACTTTCTCTGTGATGTTGGCAACAAAACATGGATAAAACCTGATTCTGAGTCAGTGATAATTGTGAAGCTTATTTTCCACATTTTTCTTTAAAGAACCATACAAGTGGATTCACTTCAAAAACACAACCTCAGTACTTAATGGGTAATCATTTGCAAAGCACGCTATTGTGAAACTTTGATGTACCTTTTCTTACATATCAGGTAATCCACTGGTTTCTGTTGAATTCTGTATGGTTCTGTATGAAAGTCTAGCAGAGTCTTAAAATTTGACTTAGTTGTGTAATCCAACACAGTGAATATCACATGTGCATTCATTTGGGTCAAAGTTCTCCAAACAAGTCTTGACTCAAACTGCATTAGCATGCAATGATAACATTACATTGACGAAAAGTAATGCAGATGTGAGGCTGCAAATTGATTTTCAGATCATACAGAAATTAATTGAAACCAAATGGTTTGGTACGGTAGGAATATTGTAAGCTGTGCCGATCATTCAGTAATGGTCTGAAGAAATGTAAGGTATACATAACTTACAGTTAAAGAGCTAGCGCCTCATTTGCTACATCATTTATATTTACGTATTCATGTAAAAATGCCTGTTAACTAGAAGAGTGATAAGAGCCATCAGCCTTCATGGTGAAGTTTCTTAATGGCTTCATCCACAGGTGAGAGTGACTCAGGGTCAGGAGCCTCCGCACCTGATGAGCCTGTTCCAGGGCAAACCCATGATCATCCACAGCGGAGGAACGTCACGCAAAGGTGGACAGTCGCAGACCAGCAGCACTCGCCTCTTCCACATCCGACAGAGCTCTTCCCGTGCCACCCGGGCTGTAGAGGTGAGCTGCATGCACACACGTCCCCGAGAACTTGACATGGTGTAGAGATGTCTGATTTTCATCTCTCACCTGGTCTGCATGCGTTTCTTCAGGTCGAGGCCACTGCATCCAATCTGAACACCAACGATGCGTTTGTGCTGAAATCCCCGAGCGCCATGTTTGTGTGGCGGGGAGTGGGTGCCAGTGATGAGGAGATGGAGGCTACCAAACATGTGGTGGGCTTCCTGGGTGGCAGTGCCAGCCCTGTGTCAGAGGGCAAAGAGCCAGGTGGGTGTCCTCTGAGGATCGATATGCTATATGTAACACAACAAGCAAAAGGACAAATTATTTGCTTAGAAAGGTTGTTACTCAATACTTATCCTCCATGAAAAGAAACTGGGAACTATCACTCAGGAGGGCTTTTCTGTTATTGATCTGCCAAAGGTGAAATTGTTGGTTGTATTGTAGATAATGCTGGTCTGATCAGGAGTATGCATCATCAATCTGTGTGAACATTATACTCATTGGCCTAATGGGTTAATGGATGTGCAGTGATTTAAAGTGAGTTAAATGTAAAATAGTTATATTAGGTCACTAGTCTAATTTTGACATAATGTTGAGGGTTAAAAGCAGCTCAACCCTGTTTCATTGTTTGATTGGCACTGATTGTCACAATGAAAATACTGTCTAAAAGTGAACGGCCCTAAGTGCTACACAGCCATGTCATGTTGCTACATGCTGCATCTTGTCACGCACATCTAGCTTTTCAAACCAGTTACAATGACTGGCCTGATAAGATACAACTGTTACATTTGTGGTCTGGTTTAGATCAGCCTTGAAAAGATGATGCATCTTGTTGCTGACTGCCCCAAAGAGGATGTGATTTACTTCCTGTTCAAACAAACAAAGCAGCGAATATGGGACATAGTGCTTGTAACTGATTGCTGTTGTGTTTTCTTTCCTCCCAGCTGATTTCTGGTCTGCTCTTGGCGGCAAGAAGGAATACCAGACCTCCAAGAGTCTGCAGAACGTGGTCAAACCTCCACGTCTGTTCGGCTGCTCCAACAAGACTGGAAGACTCATTGTAGGTCACAGAGTGAAATGATGAGAGGAATTGTTTTTCTCATCAGGGCTTACATGTAAAGTAACAGACGTGGGACATGTTATTATATATTTATACACAATCAACTGAGTAGTACCAAGTTAATACAGTGCAATCTAAATAGTGACATTCAATACCCACAAACCGACAGACAGCCAGTCTGAGTTTTCTTCTGCACTCTCTCTCAGGTTGAAGAGGTACCAGGAGACTTCACTCAGTCAGATCTTGCCACTGATGACGTCATGATCTTGGATACCTGGGACCAGGTAAGATGAGCTCTGAGTTTTGATTTTTATGACCTGCTCATAAAACTAGTTGTAGACCCTCTGAATGACTGTGAGTACGTCTCTCCTCCCTGTAGATCTTCCTTTGGGTTGGCAACGAGGCCAATGCAGAGGAGAGGAAGGGCGCTCCCAAAATAGGTTGGTTGCACTAAAGGAAGAAATGTATCATTCAGATTGTACTGCCTTGCTTCAGATTCTTTCTGTCAGAAAACATAACAGATTGATTTGTGTACAACCACGCAGACAAAAAATCAGCTAATGCAGGTTTAAATTTCCTTCATTCAAATTCTGTTGTCTGCAAAATGATGCTGTCAGATTTTTAAACGTTCTCCCGTTGTCTCATATTCCTGTCTCTCGACCTATCCCTTCTTCTATCCACTTCTTCTCATGCAGCAAAAGACTATGTAGACTCAGACCCGTCTGGTCGCAGTGGACTTCCCATCACCACCATCAAACAGGGAGCAGAGCCTCCAACTTTCACTGGCTGGTTCCAGGCTTGGGATCCCAAGATGTGGGAGACAGATCCATTCGACAGAATCCGTGCTCGTTTCTGAACTCAAAACTCCAGGCTCTTTCCCCCAGTCTGACTTCTTACGTATCCAGCACTTCCTGTTGCCACTTTGTTTATCTTACCTCCAATCCCTAAGTGCCAAAACCAATGTTATCACTGTAATCAGGTTGAATGGCTGCCTCTATGCCTTGGTCTCGATGCAGTGCACTAGACTCCATAAACTGGAATGCATCACATCAGGAGACAAATGACTTCCTCTTGTAGCATTGTCTTGAACTGATAGAAGTGGTTTGGTTGTCTGTTGCATCCAAAGCTTGTCACCTTCAGCAAATACCCACTGAGGCTCTCTAACATGAATAGGAAATAGGAAAGGAAGGCATTTTTGACAGCTGGATATGTTATCTGTTTCTCTGCTTTCTTTCATTGCAGTACACTTGTGTTCAGAGGACACCATCATGCTTTCCTTTTTGTCTGTCAAAACAGTCAATCTGTTTTTCCATAATGAGCTAGTATGTTTGATAGAAACAGTTTACTGCATTACTACACTGTGTCTACATGTGTTGTGTTTTTTCATTGGAATATGGATGTTGCACACTTATTAGAAGTTGCATGCTGCGTTTTTTTTAAAATCATATTCTGTGCTTGTGAATTTTAAAATGCGTACAGTGGTATGCACACGTCATTAGTGGCTACTCTTCATGAAATGTCCCTGAAATGCTCTTGTGGATGGCTTTTAAATAAAACTCCCAGGATTTCAAAGCAGTTTTTTTTCATTTGAACATTTTCAAGGCTGATGAATAAATAAATCAGATTAATCCTAAATATGCACTAAAAACCATTCTGCACCGGCATTTATAATTTGAATCCAACCACCAGAAGGTTTATCAGCGGAGGGTTTCTCTCCTCTGTCTCTCAGGAGGAGAGAATGGGATCTTGTTGCAGCTTGCAGCATCTGTCTAAGTAGGAAGAAGACATGAAAGCTCAGCTCACAGCTGCGCTGTCCTTCAGGATGTGCCGACACACGTTTCGTAGAGAAAAAACAGAAACCAGCATGACAAACTGGAAATTCCTATAACGGAGATATCGAGCATTGTGAAATTTGCAATTTTAATCTATGCATTCATACTCAGTGGAAAGTACGACCCATCCTATGAGTGAATGAGGAAACAATTTCAGTATGAGTTCTCAGATGTCCAAAAAGAGCATTTTAATTACTTTCTTTAAGTCATTGTGTTCCTGTAGAAGTGTGCTTGACTTAAACCCTGAACACCATACTTGAACATTGTTTTGAGTCCACAAGCCACCAAAGGTCCTAATGTAATAAAAAACACTTTAAAGCACCCTGAAGGGACAGATCCTACAAGGTCTTCAGTGAGGAAACTAATCATGCCATTGTGTCTAAAATTTAAGTTTGAACTAAATTAAGGCAGTTATTGGAGTAAGACAACTACATGTGTTTCTGATTGACCTACAGTTTCTTCAAGATTTTGGGGAAAGGTATGATAAGCAGAACAAGTTATTCCAAGAAAGTTATTCCTTTTGCACAACTCTGATCAAAGGACTTGCTCAGATGGATGTGATAATTTAGTCATTTTAAAAACATTTAGTTATTGTAAAGCACCTTTCAACATATTATCATGTCAAAAACGCCAGACCACGGAACACTGTTCAATTTTGTTCAAATTTTGCAGACGACAAAAACATTAAACGCAGTAGCCATACCTATTTCTAACGTGGATTAAGAATAGACTTTGAAGGACAATGTGTTGACGGTTATTGGGCACCACAACATGAGATGGGACCTGTAAAACCTCCCTTTAAATAGCCCTGCAGGCTGTGCCCTCCAAACAGGGGCGCTATTACAGGCATTCAATGACACGGTAACCTGCATTACCAGCCTCTATTGCAATGCAGTGGCGCTCCACAGATCTCTCCCCGGTCTGGTGTTGGCTGTTCGGGGATAAAGCTGAGTGCTATTCGGTCATGTGATTCCTGTTTTTTTTTTTTTTTTCTTCCTCCTTCGAAGTTGAAAGGCAGGAGCAGAGCGGTGGAGGGGGCCCAGCTTGTCTTCCTGCTGGTCGTTGATGCAGCGTTTTCGTCCCTTCTCCAACACATTATTGTTTGTTTCTCGCTCGGTGTGATATTTTTACTCCAACCTTTGCTTCGCGATGGCGGGGGCTATTATTGAAAATATGAGCACCAAAAAGTTGGTGATAGTGGGAGTTATTTTGCTTCTGTTTCAGGCGTTTGCCTTCATGGTCGGCGGTTTAATTGGTAAGTTTTTTTTTTTTCCTCTTTATCCTTCACTTTTATCATTCATTTTGCTAACGTTTGTCTTTGTGCGCGCGTGCCTGTTGGAATTTAAATGTTAACGTCTCTAAACGGTTAAAGCACAAAGTTTTGACTTGGGCTGTTCGTTACATACCTTCATACCAGCGTTAATAAATGTCTTCATCAGAAACAAAAGACGCTAAGCGCTAACTTTTAGCTGTGTTTTATCTACCTGGGCTTGACCGAGCCGTGCACAAACAATGCGGTGATTTGAAACAGTCACTTTGACACCAAAGCTGCCGGAGTGCACCTCAGCTAAATCACTGCTTTGTATCAAGGTGTTCGCTGCCTGCATGCCACGACCGCTGGCTACCTTTCTTTGGCTGAAAATAACACAGGACACCATTTTCGTGTGTTAATCTATGAATTTCAACTCAGGAATGCTCAGGAATACATCCAACCTTTCTGTGTTTTTCACTTCTTTGATCTAAACTCGAATGTTCTTGTCCCTTTTTCTCTCCTCATTCCTCCCCCTCCCCCTCCTCACCCCTCCTCCTCCCACATATAATGTCTGTCTGCTGTGTGGGGCCCCAGGCAGCATCTCTACCTTCCTTTCACTCCTTCCTCTCCCCCTGTGTGTCTCCCCTTCTCCCTAAATCCCTTTCGCCTTGCAGGCAGTGCATTCATGTTCCCTCCACTTCCCCTCTTTCTTCCTAGTTTTTCATTTGCATTGAGACAGACAGTGGTGCACAAAAAAAAAAAAAACACACAAGTGCACACAGCTGTCAAAGTTGCATTTTGCCTTGAGGACTGGATTGGAGTTGCTGTCAAGTTTCTTCAAATCCACCCACTCATACACACACACACATGCACACACAACAGCTACACACATACTCACAGTTAATAGAAGTTGAGTACATGTGAAATCTTTCTTATGGGCTGAATATGGAGACCATTCACATCCCCTAGACACCAGTCAGTCTCCCTGAGTCCCTGCAGTCCCTATCACTCACTACATGGCTGGTGATAATTAGCTTGTTCGGTTCGTTCTTGGCTGAGATGGTTTTAATGAAGCCAGATTCCTTTGTGTTTGCTCGGTGGCCGGGGGCGGCAGGGGTAATTGAGTAGAAAGGGGTTTTTCTCCCCTTGTTTCCCGACAAACCCGGGAACACGGCATGGGGTCAGTGGGCTGAGGGGACTGCCATTATTCTGGACACACTGCGATGGCGACTGGAGGAGCTGGTGTGCTGCTGAACTCACAGGGTCACTAGATAATTGAACTCCAAGGGGCTCCAGATAACTGGGTTTAATTCAGTTTGGTGTATCTTCTTTGTCACTGTGTTTTTATTTTATTTTTACACAGCTGTTAACAAACTTACACACTTGAAGGTTCCTTGAAGACAGCCCTCGTTGGGTTTTATGACTGGACTATGTGTAACCTAAAGGGTGTGTAAACTGTTGGTGGTGTCGCCCTTTACCTCTCTGTTACGAGTGAACAGATATGATTAGATGGACAGATAAGTAACAGAGTCCCTCTACAGGTACAAGCTGGTCTGATTTCATAACGTTTTTTTTTTTTTTTTGTTAGTGTTTCTGAACTCTACTAAACTATCCGATCTAAAATTACTCATCACCAGCATGTGCTTGCTGCAAGAACCTTTTGGAAGTGATCACAGCTGAATCTACGTAGATATGTTGCTTGTCTTTTTCATTGGCTAAATCTGGAAAGTCTGAGCTTACATGTTCATTCCCCCATGAGCCTTAACTTCCCACAGGCACCCACAGTGATTACAGCTTATTGAGTTTTCCCAGATATGACACTAACACCTTGGCACAAACAGGGCTTAAGTGTTTATACATTCTTTCTTGCATATTGACTTGATTTCTGGGAATCTGCACATCTGTCTTCAAGTCATTCCACAGAGTTTTAGTGGGATTCAGGGCTTTTTGGGCTAACCCTAACCGTAACTTTCACATCCATTTTTTGAAGCCATTTCAGACCAGACAGTCTTTTGTTTGGGTTCTTTGAGATTTAGTAACATCCATTTTCTGTGTTCCTACTGACGTTATTCCTGATTACTCATTTTAATGAAGTCACCAGGTCTGTTAGTTGTCAAGCACAACCTGAAAATGAGGGAAGAACAGGAGAAAGACATGGAAAAGGAAGATTTGGTTGTAAATAGAAAAGCAAAGTCAGTTGTATGTAATTATTTTGCTTACAGAAAGAATGACATTGACCAAAAACAGGTATTGAAGTAATCTGATGAACATTCCTGTACTTTTTTCATATTGCAGAAAAAAAGATTGCAATGTCAGTTTTCTCCAATATCATGCTGTCCTAATATGGATGGTGTTACTCTACAAGACTTGATTCCACAATCAACAATTTGGGAAAATAATGTAATTGCAATTTTTTTTTTTTTTTCTTAAACCAATATTGTGATTGCAATATAATATGCAATTATTAATTAAGTTCCTTATCTTCTGTATTATTCAACAATCAAGAGCCATAAATCATTCTATATTATGACTAACACAATATTAGATAGATTAAACATTAACTGTTTTTTCCTGTAGGCCGGGCCTATATGTCATGATGAAATTAGATGATGCATGAATTGATATTGACAGATTTGTTTAACTTACAGCCTTGTAAGCATGTAAAATTGTCTGTTGTTATGCAGACATGGTTCTCTTCATGGAGAACCCAGCTGGCAAGCCCCTGTTGTCAGCCGGCTGCAATGTTTTCCCCTGTGTGGTCGTTTAGGAAGTAGGCAGTTTGAAGGCAGCAAGCTTTGAGGTCGAAGTCTTCATTAATGAAATGCACCGTAAGACTTTGATAAGGCTCTGCTGTTTGGCTTGACCACAGTTGTAGTAGTGAAAAACTCAGCTGTGACTCTTAGCTTGCATTTTTTTTATATATCTCCAGTATGGCAACCTGGCTAAGATATGTGCAGGAGGGCATGCTGTACCGCTTATTCAGCGTATTTATCAAAGTTGTAAACCCAGGCCTGGTCACCATGCCTCTCAGCATGGGGACCAGGCCTGGGGCATAGTTCATAGGTTATTTTATTTTTCCCTATGAACTCTGTTATTGCCTGAGTAATTTCCCCGTGCCGTTTTGAATTACGTTCATATGGAGTTATGCTTTCAAACATTTCGGTCAGTGATCCTTGTCGGGGGGTATTTGGCTTACTTGACGCTGGTGGTTGGCATTTTAGCCATGCAACTATCGTACATGGCTTTGTGGTGTTTTTTTTAAGTGCTGATACAGGTTAGTAGTGTTGCCCCGTGAGGTAGCATCTTCTTTTTTTAAAGCCAAAATAGTTCCACACAACCGACATACTGCTCCTCTTTGACACTAAAGTTTCCAAAGCGCCAGTTTCTGTCGAGCCAAAGGCCGTAGTACAACAGGGCAAGTGTAGTGTGCCAGGTTGTTACTCCCTGTTTTAGCCGCCTGCTCTACTCTTGCTTGCATGTCACGTGAC